TTTTTTCTTAAGTCAGATTTATTGATATGTAACTGATGTACATATTAAAATTTACCCTTTTCCAGTGTGCAGTTCAATGAGTTTTGGTAAAAGTGTAAAGTTCTATCACAACCTGCAATCAAGATATAAAATATCACCTTTGCCCCCTAAATTCTTTTGTGTCCCTTTGAAATCAATCCCTTCCCCATGTGGTAGATGCATATACTAGAATTAAAGCAACACTAAAAAACATAACCTGACCAGGTGTGGTGGCTCAGTCTGTAATCCTAGCACTTTGGGAGGCTGAGGAGAGAGGTTGCCTGAGCCCGGGGATTTGAGACCAGCCTGGGCAACTTGGTGGGACCTCGTCTATACAATAAATCACAAAAACTAACCGAACGTGGTGATGTGCGTCTGTAGTTCCAGCTATTTGGAAGGCTGAAGTGGAAGGATCGCCTAAACCTAGCAGGTCGAGACTGTAGTGGCTGTGAGCGTGCTACTGCATTCCTCCAGCATGGGCAACAAGAGTGAGACTCCAAAACACACTAAAAAATAAAAAACATATCCTGGATAATACATGCAAGAAAATGGAGAAAAAAATTACTATGTAAAGAACAAAAAGCATAAAAATTCTGTATGCAATATAATCTTAATTATTTAATCTTTCTTTATGTGCCCAGATATGCACATCTCTCCATGTATGTATTGGTTTGTAGAAAAAAAATCTATGGCTATTTCTGGTTGTGGGAATTGCAGGAGTTGTTAATTTTCTTCTCTATATTTTTCTACATTTTCTAGTTAGTCTATAATAATAAGTTACATTTATAATGAAAATAATAGTGATATTTATGGCAATTTATGAGCAAGAGATGCAGGAAGAGTCTCCTAAGGATCAAACTGTCATCTCCTGTAAGGTGCCAGACCCCAACTGTAAATCCAGCTCGCAGATTCCACATATGGCTCATGGAAACTGTTATTGCCAGAAGAGATTCATGAAAAGATATTGACGTCTGCTGAGATGGATGTCAAAAAATATTGACCCAATAGAAGAAAAATATTGACAGGAGGAGAATTGAGGTCTTTCATTGCCTTGAAGGGAGTAATAAACCTTCATCTTTGCTGAATCCCACATTCTCTTGTTGATTTTTATAGGCATCTGCACAGCTGAAGTCAAAGATGGGCTCCTCTCTGTAAGTATTGTTAGAGAGTTGAATTTAGAGTCTATAATGGGAGCAAGGGGAAAATGATCCTATGGGTACAGAATATAATTTATGTCTAAGAGAAAGAGACAAAGAAAGACAGAGAGAAAGAGAGAGTGAAAGGGAGAGAGAGAAAGAGAGGGAAAGTGAGAGGGAGAGAGAAAGAGAGAGACGAGGAAATAGAGAGAGAGAGAGAGCGAGCCGAGACAAGATCTTGACAGTAGACATCTGTTCAGGTTTGGTTTCAGTTCCTTTCGATTCAGCAGAATCTTAAGTAAAGATGCTAAGACATATTTCCCAACCACCTCAAACAGACCAAAATCAGCCAAGACAAGCTCTAGGTCTTCAAACTAGATACAACTGATTCAGGCTCCCTCAGAGTGAGCACATTGGTCTTTTGGGGTTTTTGATGATTTCTTAGAACAAATACAATTAGAGATGACTGCAGTTGGAATGTTTTATTTCTACATTTTTCTCAAATAAGAGAAGATGATATAGTAACATGTTGGTTGAACCATCATTTGAACCAGCAACTTTTTTCCAGGTTGTTCTAAATGGGTTATAAAATTTGGACAAAATAATGAGTTGAAATTAGTTTCATGTTAAACTATTCCACTAGTTTGGATATAGGCTCTTGGATCATTTTTCCATTGTTGCATAGCAAACCTCTCCAAAACGTAGTGACTCACAACAATATTTTATCTTTTTATTTTGTAAAGACAGGGTCTTGCTATGTTGTGTAGATGGAAGACTCAAGGTTTGGGCCCACAAAGGGGAATGTATATAAAGCAAAGCAAACAACGGGGTCAGGCACGGTGGCTCATGCCTATAATCCCAGCACGTTGGGAAGCTGAGGTGAGAGGATTGCTTGAGTCTAGGCATTTGAGTTGCAGTCTGCCAAACATGCATGCCCTAAATCCAGGTATGAAGAAACCCCAGATGAATGCACACTCAAGACATTCTTCAAGATAACTGACTTTCATGCTTCAAATAATGAAATGATGTCATGAAGGTTAAAGATTGAAGGACTGTTCCAAGTTAAGTAGATTCTTTTTTTTTTTTAGTTGGAATCTCACTCTGTTGCCCAGGCTGGAGTGCAGTGGCACACTCATGGCCACAGCCACTCCAGCGTCAACCTGCTGGGCTCCAGCAATCCTTCCACCTCAGCCTTCCAAGTAGCTGAACTGCAGGTTCACGTTACCACGCCCGGTTAATTTTTGATTTCTTGTTGAGAAAAGGTCTCACCAAGTTGCCTGGGCTAGTCTTGAACCTGTGGCAATCCACTCGCTTCAGGCTCCCAAAGTATTGGAATTACAGGCTGAGCCACCAAGCCCAGCCTTAAGGAGATTCTAAAGACAAGTTGACTAAACGTAGCAAATTATCCTAGATTGGATCTTGGGTCAGTACATTTTCTTCTCTTTTGCTATAAAGCACATTAGAGAGATGATCAATGGAATTTGAATACAGTCTGTAAGTTAGACAATAGCATTATGTCCGTGTCAATTCCTGATTTTGATCACTATGTCAAGGTTATGGAAGAGCACACTCTTGTTTTGGGAAATACAACACATTGAAGCTTTTTAGAGATAAAGGGGTAACGAGATAAATCATATCTTTATTTGCTCTCAAATATTTCAGGGGGAAAATATATACAGAGAATGAATGATGAAGCAACTGTGGTGAAATGTTAACATTTGGAGAATGTGAATGAAAAGTATACAGGGGTCTTTTGTACTATATTTTGCAATTTTTCTGCAAGTCTGACATGATTATAAAATAAAAGGTTTTTACTTTGTGTTTTTAAGGAATGAGCATGCTCTCTTCTCGGCTCCTGACTTTTTGCCCTTCCTGTTACTTGGAGATGGCCCTAGAGAGTAGTGGGGTGGATGATGCCCCCACCCCTGTTAGGTCTGGCTCTACTGAGAGAAACCATCTTTTATCTCGTTCAGTGACTGCCTGTCTCTTTACTGCAGCTCTGTGACTTGCATCTAACAGAGGCTGGAAGGAGGCTAGGCTGGAGGAAGGCTGCTTCTCAGGAGTGTGGCACGCTGGTGTAGTTACACCCATGGAGGGCGTGGAAGACAGGGCCATGGGAAGAGCCGGTGAAGACCATCTGTTCGGGAGAATTAATAAAAGGAGACTAAGCATGGGCAAACAACCTGAGGGGCAGCAGGGTCCTGGCACCCTCTGGGGGAGGTGTTCCTATGTAGGAAGAAGAGGGAAAAGATCCAAGGGAGAAAAGGGATGTTTGGGGCTGGGAGATTTTCTGGTGGGCCCAATTCATAGCACACTGGTCACTTCTGTATGTGGCTGGCCCTGAGTCCAGGGGCAAGTGAAGAACGGCAGAGAACTGTGAACTCGTCTGGGTTGGGGTAGAGATGACCACGGACGATTTAGTGGGATATATAAGACCATCAGCATGTCTGGGCACAGTGGTTCACACCTGTAATCCCAGCACTTTGGGAGGCTGAGGTGGGAGAACTGCTTGAGGTCAGGAGTTCGTGATCAGCCTGGGCATAGCGAGACCTCGTCTCTACAAAAAAAAAATTAGCTGGGTGTGGTGGTGCACACCTTGAGTCTCAGCTATTCAGGTGGAAGAATCACTTTGAGCCCAGGAGGTCAAGGCTTTGGTAAGCTGTGATCATGTTACTGCAGTCCAGCTTGGGTGACAGAGGGAGACCCTGACAGAAAAAAAAAGAAAAAGAAAGAAAAAAGATAATCATCACCACCACCATAGCAGCTAATCTTTATTAAGTCCTCACTGTGTCCTCAGGACATGTTTTGAGTGCCTGAATCCTCACAACAGCCATAACACACCATTCCTATTTTGCAGATGAGTAGGCCAAGCCTTGAAGAAGTTGTCACAGGTCATTTGAAAGTGGCAGGCACAAGCTTCAGGTACAGGCAGTCTGCTCTGGGCCCAGCTTCAAGTTCTGGTGCAACTCTTTGGTTCCCCATCTCTCTTGTTCTCTTTCTTCTTATTTCTCTCTAACAATATTTGATGCTGACATAGGAGAACTGAATACACACAGTCTCCGTCCATGATGCTATAGATCTGCACCCCAGAACCTACTTCTGGCAGGGCAGGAAAGGGATAGGAGGAGCAGTAAGGTGGAGAAACAGTTGCTGGCTCTTGACCAACTGAAGAAGCTCTGGTTCACAAATGGGTCTGCCCATTTGAGGGCCAAAGAGGAAGAGCCATCACTGTTCTTTCTTAGTGATGGAGTTCTTATGTGGTTGGTGTAAGGGGTCATCTGGGAAAGGGTGGGGGTAAGTGTGGGCTGGGGTCTGCACGCCCTGGGTCTGCTATTCCCACTCTCAGCCCACTTCAGAGCCCTGTAGCCCATAGGCATGACATGATGGAAGGAGGAGGTAGGAGTCAGAGGAGGCTTTGTCCTCAAGGGTAGCTGCTAATTTCTTTCTGTGCTTAAGACCTTTTCTTACTTTAAAAGTTGTGGGCAGTAAGTTACAGAATTCCTGAAACAGGAAAAAGAGAAAGAAACGCTATGCATGTACTTTTGAACCCCAAGACGCAGCCCCCGGCCAGGAGACCAGCACACTCTTCATATCCTTATTCCGGATCCACTTAAATGGAAACAGTCTCTGATATTTTTAGCTGCTGTGTAATCGAAGGAAAAAAGAAGAAGGGAATGTATATATTTTTCTTTCCTACTCAGAATAAAAGAACACACTGCTCATGATCTCTTAACGGAGTTCCTGCTGGGAAGGGAAGACACCCAGGAGTCTCCACTTGCTCCTCCTCTGGCCTAGACAGGATTTAAACCCAGGGAGGGAAGCCAAGGACGAGAGAGGACGGCACTGAGGGCTGCAGCACAAGGACCTGGCTCACAGGAGGCAGCAGTGCTGGAAGAGGCACCCAGCAGTTTCTGAGGTAATGGTGCCAATTGCAAAGGATTTACCTGGGAGAGGGAGGAAGGTGACTGGGCAGGGCTGAGCTGAAGGGTTGAGACTACGAGCCCCAGATCCCGAGGCTGGAGCCCAGGCAGTGTGATAAACCTCCAGTCACCTCCATGAGGAGTTTAACTTGAATTAGGAAATATTTCCCGGGACCTGTGCCCTGTATCTTTGACTGGTATTATACTCGATTCCCAGAAAGGGCTGCTGCTTTACCTTCTCACCTGGCCAAACGCAGTCTGTGTTGGACTAGTATCCGCTGGGAGTAAGACATTTTTATACAAAATGTTCCTTTAAGTCTAGCATGTCCTTCTTATCTTGTTTTCTTTGTTGACTCCTTTAAAATGTCAAAGACTTCTTTTTTCTTTTGATAACTTCTTACCTGTTATATCTCATTATTCTTTTAAATTCTGGAACAGAACTTTTATTTTAGTTGTGATCAGGAAGCTATTATGACTGTCCCTTTTTCTGAATTTTGTGTGAATCAATTAAGATGACATTTCCAGGTGTACTTGAATGGCTTTGAAGTTTATTCAAACAGCTACTTTTACAGGTTTTAGTTATTATTTATAAGGGGATGACTTATTTTCCCCAAACTCCATACTATTACCCTCCAAATACCTTGAAGAAAACATCTTGAGACATCTCAAGAAATCATGTGGTTAGACTAATGCTTGAAGGTCTGTTTTTTTGTTTATTTATTAATTTTTGTGGCTGGGAGAAATCTGGAGGAAAGGGGGAAGAAAGAATGAGCGAAAACAGGCAGGGTTTCACTTAAAAGTATGAAACTTAGAGTTGCTTATAGAAGATTTAAAAAAAAGACCAAGTCCCAACACAAAAATAACACACTACTCACATCTAGCCACAGTGACTAGAGTCAATCAGGTTCTTGGAAGAGCCAAGGTACCACCAAGGTATCAGCTGCTGCCTGCTCAGCCCAGGATAGATACTAGTGGCTGGCAGAGGCCAGGACCTGCATAGAAAGAATTGTTGCCTTTTGCACTTGGGTGATTGCTGCAGACTCAGAATCAAGGCCATGGGGCTGAACACAGGAAGAAATAAAGAGGATCAACATGGGCAGCATTTCTCCCAGGGTGGGGGAAGTACCTGGCATTCTTTAATACAATTCTTGAAGTCCTGCTGTGTCCCCAAGTTTTCCGGAAAGAGGGAAAATAGAACACATGACTTCAAGCCCTCTTGTGGCTTCTGGCTTTCCATTCCAGCGCTGTTCTGTGGTTTGAAATGTAGGGTAGACAGAGCTCTGTTCTTGAGAAGATGCCCAAGGAATCGTGTCCAGGCCCAGTGGAAACTCTTGTCCACCCATCACTCATTTTGGAGCCTCGGCTCCTGAGGGGTCTGGATGGAGGCATGAGATCATGGTTTGGATTCTGTAGCAGCATCTGGAGTGTGTGAGCTGAAGATGTTAAGCTCTCGGGCCTGATCTCGGATGGACGGGGGCTTTGTGTGGTCCCACCACAGTGTACTCACTGCTCATGCCGCCCAGTCACCACCTGGATCTATACCCAGAAAGTAGGGGCGGAACAGCGCAAGTCCTTGGAAATGAGCAAAGTCTCTCTTCCTTGATAGAAGGCTGGAACTCTAACGTTATTTGAATATGTGGAAAACCACATGTTAGACCAAAGAAAGGAATTGCAACTTCTCTTATGTGTCTGTCTTCATGATCATTCAGCTGAAGCAGAGCTTTTTACCACATGCCCCTCAAATCCACGGGGAGCTGGGCTAAAGTCATGCTTAGTCATTCTGAAGTCTGGGGGTTTGGTTGGACGTTGAGGAGAAAGGTCCCTGACCTTAGGGTCTGTGTTTGTTTTACCTTCTCATTGTGCATGAGCCTAATCCCTTGAAAGCTAAAGGAAGTTCTTTCCGTGAGAAAGTGATTTGTTCTGTGGGGGTAAATGAGCATCTTTGCCTGATGCTCAGGAAGAGCTTCAAAGTGGACAGATCCTGGCAGGTAATAAATGCATAGAAAATGGTAGTTGTTGGCTGGGCATGGTGGCTCATGCCAATAATCCCAGCCCTTTGGGAGGCTAAGATGGGAGAATCACTTGAGATCAGAAGTTTGAGACCAGCCTAGGCAACATAGTGAGACCCCATGTCTATTTATTGAAAAATAAAATAAAATAATAAATAGAAAATGGTGGCTACCATTATCATCACCCATTTGAGCCTTTGCAAGACAGATTAAGATTTGATTAATAAACCAAACCAAGCAAGCTGTCATCAACCTTGAAGACATGATGGAGGGCTGGGGCTGGGCAGGACTTCATCCTTTGTCTTTTATAGACTGTGGTGGGTGGCAGACTTGATGGAAAGAGTTCTCTAGGAGACCAGCTATTGCACGTAGGTGTGAGTCATCTCCAAGGAATTCCTGTGAACTCACTGGTGTGTACCACAGAATTGGGACAGTGGGAGGACAGAGTGATGCCTGCAATGTGACCACAATAAGCCTTATCACATAAAACCAAATTTCCTTTCTTGTCCACATCTTGTTGTCTCATGCCCTAACTGAAATGCTTGTGCAAAGTTCAGTGTCACAGAGACTAGAAACAGAAATGTTCATATGTCCTTGGTTCAACTGGAGTTTGACCTAGGAGAAACAGACCTGCCTTGACATCAGCTGCTCTTGCATCTGGACGGGAAAAAGATACAGAGGTTTCCAGTGCAAGATGAGCAGAGCCAGGGCAGATTCCTCAGCTACCTGAGAACTTACTCTCCTGGAACAGGAACCCGAGTCATTCAGGGCCCAGGCTGTAGGTCACCGGGCAAAGCATGCCCTAGAGAGTTAAGGAAGGAGCCACAAGTTTGCCAGTGACATTTGTGACATCGGTGTGTTCCCAACCATCCACCTCCTTCATTCTCCTTCATAGTTTAATGATATCCACCCTATCATTTGAGGACAGGATATCTTCTTAAGTGACTCCACTGGAATTCCGTAATGACAGTTTTACTAAGTCTCGAAGCAGTGCTTTTCATGTGCTTGTGGTTAACTGTAAAGGCAGGATGAGGTAATAGGGGACCAGAGAAAACCCTAAATTTAAGTATAAGGATCTGTAACCATGGCTAAAAGTTGGCTACCACTCTCTTTGAGGTAAGCAGTATTTTTTTCCCCTGACCCAAGGTTTGTGTCCTTTTTTGGAGAAAACAAGGTGACATGGAGCCCTTCCAGCTCTAAAGGACCACCAGGTTTCAGAGTTCTTCCCTCTCCCCTGGTAAAGGCTGGTTTGACATCTGCCCCTGAGGGCAGAAGTTTGTGTCGTACTTGGTGCTTCCTAGTAAGGAAATCCTCTAGCTTCTGGTAAGAGGAGTCCCCCACAAGGGAGGCACAAATCATCTTTTTACGAGATCATCCTTGGCATGCTCAGACAAAAGGTAGGCACAGCATTTAGTTATTGATCTAGTCATTTTTAAGCACCCGGTATGCTTTGGGTTTCCTTTCTTTTCAGAAGAACCTCTTTCTTAAAAAAATATGGCGGGAAAGAGGACGTTTGGTATTTTTTCCACATATACAAAACATATAGCAGAAAAATGAAGGACACAGACACAGGCAGTAGACAGGACTGGTGTGTGATCCCAGCTCTGCTGTCTGTTAGCTGTGTGTCCTTGAACAAATGACTTAATCTATTTGAGCACCTGTAATAGAGAATGATATCAGTTGACACCCAGGATTTTTTTTTTCTTTTAGTCAAAATCTCATTCTGTTTCCCAGACTGGAGTGCAGTGGCATGCTCGTGGTTACTGCAACCTTCACCTGCTAGATGGAGGTGGTACTTTTGCCTTAGGTTTCTAAGTAGTTGGAACTACAGGCACCTGCCTCCACGCCTGGATAATTTTTTGATGTTATTGTAGAGATGAGGTCTCAGCAAGTTGCCCAGACTGAACCCCTGGGCTCAGGCAATCCTCTTGCCTCCGTCTCCCAAAGTGGTGGGATCACAGCAGGTAGGAGCCATCACACACAGCAATGCCCAGGATTTTGAGAATAAAGTGAGAATAATTTTTATGAACTACTTGACACAATGCCCATCATTTAATACACACACACACACTCCCACCCACACAAAATAAAAATAATAGTAAATAATAATAAAGACATGATCAGCCTCAGGAAGACACTGGTTCTTGGGGACACCTAGTTCCCTGTAGCTTTCCGCACGCACATTTCCTGCGACTGCCCTTTCTTCAAGCACTGACCCCACTTTCTGTGAGAAACTAGCCCTCAGTAGCATAATTGTCTTGTTTGAACATCAACCATCCTGCCCTTTTCTGGATTCTCTCTGCCCCTCTTCACGCCCATGGAGCTCAGCCTGTGGTCCGCTGTGCATGCTAAGAGGCGATGAGGTCAGCTCTTCCTGATGCTGGTAAACCAGGACAGTGTCGGTCCCACCACATGTGGGAGCGAGGGCCAGCAGGCTTCCCTTCTTGCTCCTTGCCCCTGGGAATGTTAGGCTGAAGATCTCCCCACTCTCATCTTCTCTCCAGCAATCACCCTGCCCAGGAAAATCTGAGTGCAAGCTGTGGCATCTTAGAGGCAGTTGTTAGTGAGGACATCTTATTACAGTTCAGAAGGACGGCCAACACCAGGGTTCCCAAGAGGCTTCTCATACTCCAGGCTTTGAAAACACACACCACAGAACAGGGCTCTGGGCGGCCCTGCTGTGGCTCAGGGCAGGAGTCCCTGGCTGTTCTGCAGTTCAGAATAGCCTCAGAGAACCATCTGTGCTCCATTTATGCCTCGGAAAAGACTGAGTCACACACTGCACAGCAGGATAGTCAGAGAAGTCTGCCTCGTTAGCTCCATTGTTGCCGCAAAGAAGATTTTGGACAGTGGAAACATGCATTTCCACGAATGCAGTAGGTGCTTTAGGGATTAATACATGGTGTTCCTGGGATGGCAGAAGAGCACAGGGGTAGATGGCCCGCACCTGACACCGACACCTGTGTTTGAACCTGCAGGCATGCACTCATCAGTTGCATCATCAAGGGCACATTGCTTGATGCGTCTAAGCTTTAGTTTCCATCTCGGTGTCCGGTGGAGATTGTGCATGTGGCTGTCTCATGTGACTGGCTGTGGGAAGATGGTCATTGTGAAATGTCACTATTTTCATCCTCCATCTGCTTTCCAAGTCACTCTCCCGGCCCTCCTGCTTCCCTATCCTTGGACAAAAACCTCAAGGATTCCTGAGCCTCTTTGACTGCTTTTTGTCTCAGAAGAGACTTGCTTTTGTGAAAGTGAGGGCCTCTCAGCCTCAGAGCCTCCATGTCTCATCCAGGCCCCATCCTTCCTCCTCATTCAGTTCGAGCCTGCAGGTGAGGGGGAGAGGAGGGCCCACGCTGGCCGATGCCCTTCTTCCTCCCCTTCCCTCTGCAGTGCATAGGGCTGCTGCTGGTTGCCCAGGCTACTGCCTGAGTGGGTTGGGGCTTCGAAAGGAAGGGAAAGGGAGTTTTCCTTTTGTGGGGGCTGTTGTAGCTCCTCTAGTAGTGGATACCTGTGTTGTGACAGATCCCCTCAGCGTGGGCCCACCCCTCCTTCATGTGTGCTTTTTCTGGGTTATCCAGAGATTCCTGCTCTGCCTACTGGCTGGGTATCTCCTCCCTGGCTGCTCAGGGATGGCACTCCTGCTGGTCCAGCCTCCTGCTGTCCTCCTGGTGGCTCTACCATGCCACCTCATTTCTGTGGCATCCACTTGGCCTTGCCAAAGCTTGGTGTGCAGGCCCCTCCCACTGTGGCCTCCCTCCCTGGGGCCTCCCTCTTCTCCCTGCCATTTGACCCGTGCCAGTCAAGCTTCTGCTTCTGAATTCCTCTGCACCAGGACCAGGCACTGGACTCTTTGCCACCACTCCCCATTCACCCCGATCCCCCAAACCTCCAATGGCCTAGCTGTCTTGGAAATGTGGGGGCACTTGTTATCCACAAATTCCAAGTCAAGAAACATCCCATTGACCCTTCCATTACTCTGCAAGGTGTCGAGTCCCATGCCTGAGAGACAGTAAGTGCTCAGAAAAGGTGAGCCATTGTTATCATCAGTAACACATGCTTTTGAGGGGAGGAGAAGCCAAGGAGTGGGAGGGAGAAGGGGAAACGAGAGGAGATGCCCTCCCTCTGTGCCATCCTGTTCAGCTCACAGCAGTGGCACATCCCTTGGGTACAATATATGCAGCAAAATGAGGGCACTGCATAGAGACATGTGTCTGTGGAACTCATCTGTCATTTGTGCCAGGATGCTGTATTGTAACCAGGCTCTCAATCAGGTGGACCTGGGTTTGCATCCTGACTCTGCCACTTCTCAGTTGGGCAACTCCCTGGCCAATGACTTCTCAGGTATGGAGTGAGGAGTGAAGAGAGTAACACTGACCTTCTGTACAGTTCTGAGGTGCGGACTTTTGTGTATGTGTGTTGAGACTATCACCCAGGCTGGAGTGCAGTGGTGAAATCACAGCCCACTATAACCTTGAACTCCTGGGCTAAAGCGATCCGCTGCCTCAGCCTCCCAAGTAGTTGGAACGTGGGCCTGAGTCCAGGCTCTGCCCTTCTTGGCCACGTTCCCCAGGATGAGCCGCTCAACGTCCAGAGCCTTGGCCTCCTCATCTGTGCAAGGCAGCATGATTTTGTGGGATGAGCATGGACTCTGAAGTCAGAGTGCTGGAATTCAAATCCTGCCACTCTTAGCTGGTGCCTGTGGGCTAACATTTGAGGTCACGGTGCCTTAGTTTCTTTATCTGTAAATGGGGATAATGGGATTATATTCTACAAAGGATTGCAGTGGAAATTGAATGAGTTCATAAGTGTGAGGTGCTTAGAATAGTGCCTGTCACATAGCAAGTGCTCTGTGTGCAGTTATTATTATTGGTGTTATTTTTTTCCTTTTTCAGAGACAGGGTCTCTTTCTGTTGCCCACACCAGAATGTAGTGTGCGATCATAGCTCACTGTAGCCTTGAATTCCTGGGCTCAAGCGATTCTCTCGCCTTAGCCTCCTGAATAGCTGGGACTATAGGTGCATACCTAGATTAATTAAAAAAATTTTTTTTGGAAGTGGGATCTTGCTATGTTGCCCAGCCTGGTCTTGAACTCCTGGCCTCATGTGATCCTCTCACTTTGGCTTTCTGAGTCGCTAGGATTAATGCATGAGCCACTGTATCTGGCTCCTACTGTTGATGTATTCAGGGGAGGATAACATTAGGGCTGTTGTAAATATTAGGGATTAGGGTTGGGGGAATCAAAGCCTGGTATGTAGTAGACCCTCGAAACAAGAGAGCTGCTCTCCCTGTTACTATTAAGGTGCAGAGGAGCCTAGGCTTACAAGTGAAGAAAAGGGCATCCCAGGCAGGGTGGGCGGTAAGCAAAGACAGGAGGCAGGAATGTGCACCATCTGAGGAAGGAACAGGAAATCATTTGGCTCAGATCTTCCTGAGATACAGCTTCCTAGAGACCCTTTGAATTCATTAAAAAGGCCGCCGTCTCTCACAAATCTCATGGCGTTCTTTTGCAGTCTTTCTAAATACAGGCCTCCCGGAGGGTCTGCTCCCTGTCTCTTCAAAGATGGGCCTCCAGGTCCGGTTCTGCTTCCCCCTGGGGCTCCTGCTCAGCTCGGGGCTCCTGGTGGCGTCAGCCCCGGCTGCTCTGGAGCTTCTTGGTTGCGGCACCAAGGAGCAGCGGGTCACCGTCAGCCACACCTACAAGATTGATGTGCCCAAGTCTGCCGTGGTTCAGGTGGAGCCTGACCCTCAGTCCTTCAGCGACGATGGGGCTTCGCTCTTGGCCCCAGGGGATGCCAGGGAGGAGCAGAACATCATCTTCAGACACAATATCCATCTTCAGACACCACAGAAGGACTGTGAGTTGGTCGGCAGCGTCCAGGACCTCCTGACCCGGGTGAGGAAGCTGGAGGAAGAGATGGCGGAGATGAGGGAGCGGTGCAGTGCCCAGCGCTGCTGCCAAGGTGCTGCCGGTGAGCTTGCCACCTGATATTCATTCAGCCAGCACCTGGCAAGCACCTACCATGTCCCAGGTGCTCCCCAGTCTTGGATACCCTGTAGATCTGGTGCGCTGCCACCTCTCATATGGGTGTTCTTGTAGGGGATACATCCCTGCTATTTATTCATTGGCATTAGCCTCAGGGGACATGCAGAGGGACCAGTAGCTTGAAAAGAGTCTAGACTCCTGGGTGAATGCTTTCAGACCAGAAAGCTTCTGGGGGCTGTCTTACCTGTGGGTTCAATCTCTACACAAAAGGGAGGCAATGGGATGTAGAGGACAGATGGAAGGCTTTGGAGCTAGAGAGGACTGAGTTCAAATCCTGGACCTGCCACTTTTTAGCTGTTTGACTTTGGGCAACTTCCTTACGTTTCCTCAACTGTCCAGTGAGGATAATTCTACCAACTAGTACAGTTTGAAGACCTAGAGAGACATGTTGAGGCTTCCTGACCCATGGTAGATATTGAGAGAATTGTAATTATTTTATTAGTAATAAAGTACTACGATTTAATTTTATAGGTAACAAGCGTTCTCCTGCTCCATTTCCCTTTTGTAAACATGAACCACCCAGGCTGATCCAATGCTAAAGAAAGGTATTTTTGTGTAGGCTTTTATACCTGAAGGCCTTGCTGTGGGGAAGAGCATCTCCTCTATGTCACATACAGCACTAGGCACCGAGACATGGTCAAGCACAAAACAATATGCAGCAACCTCTATTTGGGAAGTGTTTCTAGGAAGGAGAGAGCTGTTCTGAGAGGCAGGGCCTGGGGCTGGAGAAGAGAGTGCACCAACTAGCCACCCTTCTCTACTTTCTTGCTCTGTGGGGTCTAGGGTAGCCTGGGAAAAGCCTTCCTCCCACCTCCCACATCTATCATCAAGTTGGGCTATTTTGCAGCTTCTGCAGTTCTGCTTTTTCAACCTTCAACTGGGCTAATTTCACAAAGTTCTGGCCTTGCTAGGTCCAGCGAACTTCCTCCTGCCTGGATCTCACTTGCCTCCCCCAGAATCCTGCCCCTTGGTGTTCAGGGTGGAGCATTCAATGCTCCTTCATAGACTCCTTCATAGATAGGCACTAAATAATTACCACCATTCAGAGGGGAAAAAAGAGGGGGAATTGACATGGGCAGGGAAAGGAAAGAAGGGTCATCCTCCAACTTTTCAGGCAGAGAAAGAGGAAACGTTTGTGGATGTTACAGGTCAGACTTGGTTGAAAAGGGCCACGCCCCACCTCCCATCATCCTTCAAAGAGAGAGCTATGACTTGACGTCCCAAGACATCTCCAAGGAAGGGAATCCCACCTACCACCCCTAAACTCTGGCCTATTGTTTTTTAAAATTTCAGTAGCTTTGGGGGTGCACGTGGTTTGTGTTACACGGACCAATCGGATAGTGGTGCAGCCTGGGCCTTCAGTGCACCCGTTCCCCCATCCGTGCACACTGTTATCACAGGTAGCAGAGAATGGTGTAAGGGGCACCCAGCCTTCGCTGTCCTCTCCCTCCTAGGTCCAAGCCGCCACTGCAGCGGCCACGGGACCTTCTCCCCGGACACTTGCAGCTGCCGCTGTGAGCAGGGTTGGGAGGGTACCGCCTGCGAGCAGCCCACCTGTCCCGGAGCCTGCAGCGGCCATGGTGAATGCGTGGATGGGCGCTGCCTCTGCCACGAGCCCTACGTGGGCGCTGACTGCGCCTACCCCGCCTGTCCTGGGAACTGCAGCGGCCAAGGCACGTGCATGCGTGGTGTCTGCCAATGCCACGAGGACTTCACGTCGGAGGACTGCAGTGAGCGTCGCTGCCCTGGCGACTGCAGCGGCCACGGCTTCTGTGACACGGGCGAGTGCTACTGCGAGGAGGGCTTCATGGGCCTGGACTGCGCCCAGGGTGAGGGCAGAGGGGCGCTCAGGTCGCCTGCCTCTTCTTTCCACTGTCGGTTTAGCCATCCATTCCTCATTAGCCTGTATAACCTGCATCAGAATGCCCTGGAGGACATGTTTTTTGTTTTTGTTTGCTTTTAGTGGAGATGAAGTCTTGCTATGTTGCTCAGGTCAGTCTCGAACTCCTGGGATCAAGCGATCCTCCGCCTCCCGAGTAGCTGGGATGCCAAGACACATCACCACACTTGGCTAATTTCTTTTATTTTTGTAGAGATGAGATCTTGCTATATTGACCAGGATGGTCTCCAACACCTGATCTCAAGCAGTACTCCCACCCTGACCTCCCAGAGTGCTGGCATTACAGGCATATGCTGTCATACTTGGCTGATTTCTTAAAAAAAATTTTTTTTTGGTAGAGATAGAGTCTTACTATATTGCCCAGGCTGATCTCAAACTCCTGGCTCAAGCGATTCTCCTATCTCTGTCTCCCAAAGTAAGAAGACGACAGGTGTGAGCCACTGAACTCCTCCCCTGCAGGCTTGTTAAAGCACAGATTGCTGGATCACAGCCCCAGAGTTTCTGATTCTAGGATGGGGCCTGAGAATTTGCATTTCTAACAAATTCCCAGGTGTTGCTGCTGCTGCTGTTTTGGGGCCCTAACTTGGAGGACCAACTGGTCTTGTGATCTAGTGGCTCTGTGTGTGTGTGGGGGGGGGGTGTCAGTATTAACTTTCTAGCAGATATCTTCTGAGGGGGTCAAAAATAGTGCCTTACACAGGTTTGCATCTTTCACATTGTGGTACTTAGTATACAGTAGGTGCTCAGTGAATACTCATTGGCCATGCATTCCAACCCCTACTCATCCCCCGTCTGCCCTGCTCCCGTTTTGCACCCAGTGGTCGCCCCTCAGGGCCTGCAGCTACTCAGGAGCACAGAGGATTCCCTGCTGGTGAGCTGGGAGCCCTCCAGTGAGGTGGACTACTACCTCCTCAGCTACCACCCCCTGGGGAAGGAGCTCGCCAGGAAGCAGGTCCAGGTGCCCAAGGAGCAGCACACCTATGAGATTCTTGATTTGCTGCCTGGAACCAAGTACATCGTCACCCTGCGCAACATGAAGAAAGAAGTTTCCAGCAGCCCCCAGCATCTTCTCGCCACCACAGGTGAGGAAGTGGCCTCGTGCCTCAGGTTACCTGAGAAGGCCCCATTTTATTTTATTTATTTATTTGATTTGGAGTCTCACTGTTACCCAGACTGGAGTGCAGTGGCTGCTCCCGGCCACTGCAGCCTCGACCTGCTGGGTTCCGGTGATCCTTCCGCCTCAGCCTTCCAAGTAGCTGGAACTACAGGTGCGCACTACCACGCTCGGCTAATTTTTTTTTTATTGTAGAGATGAGGTCTCGCCAAGTTGTCCAGGCGGGTCTCGAACCTGCGGGCTCAGGCAATCCACTCACCTCGGTCTCTCAAAGCGCTGGGATTACAGGCTGAGCCATCAAGCCCAAGAAGGCCCCATTTTAAATGTTTTCTCCCACTTTCTACACAAATACCTGTCTACTAATTAGCCCATTGCCCTGATTTGGGATTTGAGAAATCCAACTGCTGCAGTCATAGGTTCTGCAGAAGAGTCCCTGTTTTCTCTGCCGGCTGCCTCTCCCTGGCTATTGTATCCTCCAAGTCAGCGAAGGAAGCCTGCAGGACAGGAGCTTGGAGGTCTTCATCCCCCCAGAAGCAACTGAAAGGTAGACCTTCACTGAGCCTCCACGGCCATTCAGTATATTCAAGTCAGTTTGGGTGAGAGGCTGCCGAAGTCCCCTGTGTCGGTTAGGTTCTGCTCTGTGGGAAAGGCAGGGCACCCAGGTTCTTCACAGAGGTGTCGGTAGGGCTTGGATGGTGCAGTGCTAAGACTAGCATCAGCTGGGCTCGGTGGCTCAGCCTGTGATCCCGTGCTTTGGGAGGCTGAGGTGAGTGGATTGCCTGACCTGCCTGGGCAACTTGGCGAGACCTCATCTTTACAAAAATAAAAAAAAATCAGCCGGGCGTGGTAGTGCACACCTGTAATTCCAGCTACTCGGAAGGCTGAGGCGGAAGGATCGCCGGAGTCCAGCAGGTCGAGGCTGTGGTGGCCGCTCCCGGCCACTGCACTCTAGTCTGGGCGACAGAGTGAGACTCTGACTCAAAAAAAAAAAAAAAACAGACTAGCGTCAGTGAGGATATACCCCGGCCTGAAGGGGTGAGCAGTGGTCATTGACACTTGGACCTAGAGTGAGCTGCAGGAAAGGAAAGCCTGGTGGGTGGTTTTGGAAGAAGGATGTAGGCAGTCCCCAGCATCCCCACAGGGAGGGAGTGATGATCAATTGCCCGGGCTGTCTCTCCTTGATCTGGTGACTCCCACTAACCGAACTCAGGAAGTTCAGGGAACCTGATTGACTCCATTCACAGAGGTCATAACCTGGAATACAGAGCAGGGTGAAGGGTGGTGGAGGTTGGATCTGGAGGGGCAGAGTGACCAGTGTAACACCAAATGACACCAAGATGCTTGCAAGCATAAGCACCACTGCATACTCTAGAAATTCTTATTTCCTCATGAAAGTTCTTGAAGCAGCTTAGATGCTCAAGGATTTGGAGAAAGGTAGGCTGAATGACTCTGATTCATTCAGAGTCAACACATTTTTCCTGAGCACCTACCACGTGTCAGGCACTGTTGTAGGTGCTGATCAAAATGCACTGCCCTCACCCTGCCAAATTCGTGAGAAAGATCCAGGGAGAGCCAGATGGTGGGCCTTTGTCTTGCAGCCATTTTTGCAGAAACATCAGGCTGTCTGCGGTGGGAATAGGGTGGGGTAGGGGTGAGTTGGTGTCTGAAAGGCTGTGAGAGACTTGACATCATGAGGGCACTGTTTGTGATTGCCTCTGTCAGTGTCCTCCCACCATTGACCTCAGGAATACCCCTGATTTGAACTACTTGGGTTTCTTGATTTTTTAGTATACGAGACTGTATATCGTGGGCAGTCATGGGTGTATCTCAGTAAGAGTGTTAAGAAGGACTGGTTGTAGAATTTGTGCTTGTATGAGGTACTTTGGGGGAAGGGTTAAGGCAGCAGGGATTTACTTTGGATTGGATGCTGTCGGGAAGTGGGGGTGATTCTGTGGACAAGTGTCTTAGTGAAACTTATCTAGAAGGGGGGTGGACCAGAGGGAGGCTAAAGCTGTGATTGGTCCAGGAGTAGCAGTCACTTATATAGGCGGTGGTGGTGGTGGTGGTGGTGTTTAGTCACTTGTGTAGTTTGGACAAGGGTCACATCTTTGTCTGTGTTCAGACTTGATCCCATATGGAATGGTCTCATTTTTGTCTTGATCTGCCATGATCACAGAGTGACCTTGTCGGATGCTGATGTCCTGTGAAGTGGTTTATGTTCAACAGAAAAACTCCAAGCCCTCCCTAATGTGAGAGCCAGACCTGCTCCTGGCTGGCTGGGCCTGCTTTTCTCTGTCTCCCCATTTTGTCTGTGGCTGTCTCTGCTATAGGCAGGACAGTGTCCAGAGCCTCCCAGTGCAGGACAGAGACATCCGTTCTGAAGGTCTCAGCAGTCCCCTCATGGTGTCTTGCTCTCGGGACTTGAAAATTCTGCAAGTGTGATGTTTGTCTTTCTGTCTCATCTGATTCAAGTTTATTCTTATTTTCTCCTTGGGGTGCCTCGGATGAGAGATACTTTTATCCCCATTGTGATCTTGGATATTCTCTTTAGGGTCTTCTTTTTCATTTGCAAATTTCTCCCAATTCTCTTCTGCCATTCAGGACCTCTTATGCCTTCCTGCAGCCACTTCCATTACTCACCTCTTGACCTGTCCCTCGGGGAACTCCATCTTTGAAGATGGTCTAAGAACAGAACCTGGGGGCTGGTAGATGGGAACCAGCCAGTGAGAGGAATGCTTCAGAGAGCAGGTGCTGTGCAGCTTGTTATCCAGAAGAGAGGGCTAGAGAGTTTCACAGGAGGAACCTCGAGGCTACTGAACTCACATCCTTCCTGAAGCACTGATTCTCCGTCCTCCATCCCTGACAGGTGGTCAGCCCACCTGGGTGGGAACTCCTCCAAGGAGGTGAAAGTGGGGATGTGACTGGGGCAGGACTGAGACCTGGGGGACTTGTCTTTCCTGTTCTAACCTTGCAAGGCCAAGCTTCATCAACCTGGGACATGGCTGTCAGAATTCAAAGTGCTCCCAAAAGACCCCAGTTCCTCCACCTCATAAAAATGTCCTCTCTTCCCTTAAAGCCACAGCAATTAGTTCCTTTGTATTAAACACTATAATTCCGTTTTTTTTTCTGAGTGGATGGGGAAACATCTCTTAATACTCTACTATAAATAACTGTATACAACAACTCTACTCCCTTACAGGATAGATTGGCAACATGAGAATACCAATGGCCTGGTAGCAGTGCCCTTAATAGAAGGTACAGGAAGGGTACTCTGAAAGACCAAGTTAAAATTCACCTACTTTATAGTTTTGCCCAGGGTTAATCCTTAGAGGAGAATTTGAGAGGCAAGGGTTATGATTTGGGAGATGGGAAAAGGAGTTGGCTGTATTTTCTGTGTTATACCCTAGACAGCTTGGAATGCAATTTTCTCAGTTCTGCATGGAAGGGCCTCCTCTTCCCATCCTGAGGCCATCCCAGAGCGCAGGGGCTCTGCACCTACAGGGTGGGCATGTAGTTCACAGCCGTCTGAGCCCTGGGCTTTGTGACTTGGGCAGCCAGCCTGCGGGGTACCGTTCAACTTGACCGGAGTCAGTGTGAACAAGGAGAACTGTCTAGCACCTGTGATGGGGTGGGAGGAGTGGAGGCTTTCCTGGAAGGCAGTCTGCCCTCCACAGAAAACTTGGAAATCAGCAGCTTAATCGCTACTTTGGTAGCTCTGAGATACCTATTAAGAACTGTGTCCTGGGGCTGAAGCCAACTCGTGGTGTGTCAAGAAAGGGAGCTGACTTGGTCACCAGTGGCCTGTTGCAGACCTTGGGGACTTCTGTTCTTCACTGCCCTCACTTACCTCTTTTACCTCTGCCCTAGACCTTGCTGTGCTTGGAACTGCTTGGGTGACAGATGAGACTGAGAGCTCCCTGGATGTGGAGTGGGAGAACCCCTCAACCGAGGTGGACTACTACAAGCTGCAGTATGGCCCCATGACAGGGCACGAGGTGACTGAGGTCATTGTGCCCAGGAGCAGTGACCCCAAGAGCCGATATGACATCACCGGTAAGAGCCAACATGGGGGCACGAGATGTTTACTGTAGATGCTGAGTGGGGACAGTGTTTGCAGAGGCCACCGACATTTGCTCTGCTCAGGTATGGATGGAGGGTCCTTGGGCCTTGGGAATCACACATGAACCCGAGCCCTGAAACTCACAGAGACACAAGCCCCCTCTGGGAGCCTGCAGACTCTCCCCTAGGCTTCCTTGATAAGAGATTACACTTCAAGAGTGAACCCTCTTGAAGACCCTGTCTGTGTCTCAGAGTGGATTTAATGGTGTAAGACATTGCTTTTGGAGAAACCTGTGTGTGGGGGTGAGTGGGTGAGGGGAATGGCTGCTGAGATTGGTTCATTGAGCATGTGCACAGTAGGGGGTATGTTAGGAGGCAGGGGAGGAGTGGGGGCTCCCTGTCTCAGATGCCTGAGAGAGTGCTCAGAAACTCAGGTGGCTGCTAAGGACATGGGGCGCAGGGATAGATCACATTTTGCAGTGCTTGAAGCTTGTGCAATTTCCAGGGTCTTCTTTGAGAAACGTAACATGCAGTCATGAATACCTACTTTGGCACAGGGCCTTGGAAAGGATCCCAAAAGCGAGGGGTCCGAAGTCTCTTGGCTTCATGGGAAAGGCTCTTATTCTTTCTCGAGGTTCTCAGTGTTTGTGGAGTGGAGGATGAGGGTGTGTGCCTCACACGTGCTGCTATTCATCTGCTTTTTGCCACCAGAGTCTGAATGTTTGTGTCATGAGGAGCAATCATTCAAGTTGCTTTTATAGAGAAATGACTTTTAAAAAGGGAAAAAAAAGTCCAGGCTAATTACTACAATGAGAAGGAAAGAAGCTTTGAGGGAATGGATTGGTAGGAGCAAAAAGCATTTGGGTCTGTAAATAAAATAGAGAAATGAGGGCTAGGTGGTCCAACAAAGAACAGGTGCTTCACTGACCTCCCCTCATCTGCCCTGACACCCACCCCCAACCGTTGAGAACCTCAGTGAGGCTTCCCCTTCTGTGACTCTTCAGGGGCTTTAGCTGTCAACAGTGGTTCATCTTTGGAGGGGAAGCATAGCCCCTCATCTCCTCTTCACAGGAGTAGTCATGGGGGTGGAGAGCAGAGCTGGGGAGAGAGGTCTGGAGCTTGCACTCATGTCTGGTGCTGGTGGCTTTTTCTAGGTCTGCAGCCTGGGACGGAGTACAACATCTCGGTGGTCCCCATGCGAGGAGAGCTGGAGGGCAAGCCCATTCTCCTGAATGGAAGGACAGGTGAGGGCCACCCAGTGGCATGATACACATTGAATCATGTTTGCACTCTGACTTTCTTCTTGGCTGACTCCTCTCTGCATAAAAATTCTGAGATTCGCACATGAAGAGATTCTATCCCTTTATGCACTGACATCTATTTTGGGGGGGTGGGCAGGGGAAAGGGAAGCAAACTTCTCCCATTTGAAATTTTTCTTGCTGTGGAAAATCTCCCCAAGATCTTGGAGTCAAGAGAAGAGACTATTTCTGACACCTTTCTGTTTATTTTAATAGTTTCAATCACTGGATTATTTTAAAGGCATTTATCATGTGGCATTTGCCACACCCAAGTTTTTTCCCTGATGACCACACTCAAGCAGTCTGCTTTAAAAGGTCAAAAGATACTAAAGACCCACACATGGGAGTGGTGGTACAGTTAGCATATGTGAACTGAGAAAATACATAATGATAAAGCATAAATCGGTAACATTTGATAGTAAACTTGTAGTTTATTATTCAGAACAGAATTTGAAAACGTCGTGGGCATACACACAAGACAGTCTATGGAGCTCTTAGTTCTTAATGATGTTTGCGCCTATACTGAATTGTGAGTCCTCCTCTGTGCTCCTGCCCACTCTAAGTTGGGAACCCCTGATCTAGAACATAATGCCCTTGGTGGAGACTAGTCTTTGAAGCCAGAAAAGAAGGAGTCCTTGCATTCTGAATCTTCATGAAAAGGTTTTTTGTTCTTTCCAATTCAGGCCTGGAAGTGGCTGGTTGGGGTGGTAGAATATGGGTGAGATGTGTGAGAACCGAATTAAACATTTCCACTGTTTAATGGATACATATCTGGGGTATGACAGAGCAGTAGTTGGGCAATCGGAAAAGATGAGATGTAACTTAATTTGCAGACTAGATAATATGGACTGTTCAGTCAGCCTGAATAGCAACTAGAGAAAGGTTTTAATGAGTTGGAAAATGGTAAGCACGTTCTGGTTTCCAGGGGCCTTCTTGGTAGCTGAGTTAATCGAGAGCTTACTATGCCAAGCGTTATACTCACTAAGCACTTCTCATGAATTTAATTCTTTTTAATTGTCATTTAATTTCACAGCCATCCTATGAAGCACTATTATTATTTCTGTGACATATATAAAAACCTGAGAGTTAAAGAAATTAAGCTCAAGATTGCCCAGCCATGAAATGACAGGGCTGGGATTTGAAGCCTGGTCTAAACCTTGGGGCTTAGCTACAAAGTCAAAGTGCTTCCCACTTTTACCCTTCTGAAAGAGATAAATACTTTTTCTTCTCTTATACAGTCAACACATCACAACATTTTACCTCTGGAAGTGACTTCTCCCCACATACCAAGCAGTTTTCCATTGGACACCAAATGGGTGTTCCATAAGTCAATTCAGTCTTGTTACTTTCTGCCTGAAAATAGCATCGGATCCCATAAGTTGAGGGCCCAGTCCCAAAAGACTGACCTCACTTCAGAGGCCAGTCGCAGTCCTGAGGTTGTGACCTGCACTTCTGACTAATTGGCTGTAAATTGGAGTTTCCTATGATCCCTTCTCAGGTTTCTGTTAATTTACTAGGACAGCTAACAGAACTCAGAGGAACACTTTGCTTATGTTTACCAGTTTATTATAAAGACTATTACAAAGAATCCAGGTGGTCAGCGAGATGGAAGAGTCTCATAGGGCAAGGTACTGGGGAAGGGGCTGGAGCTCCAAGGTGCCCTCTAGGTGTGCCACCTGCCAGGCACCTCCATGTGTTCAGCAACCAGGAAGCTCCCAACCCTATCCTTTTGGGTTTCTGGAGGTCTCATTATGTAGGCATGAGTGATTATATCTTTGACCATTGGTAATTAAGTCAACCCTTGGCAACCTTTAGCATCTCTCCCCTCGGTTAGGGGGTTGAGGAGGTGGGGTTGAAAGTTCCAACCCTCTAAGCAGTGGTTGGTTCCCTTGGCAACCACCCTCCCATCCAGAGACTGTCCAGGAGAACCATCAGTCATTCATTATCGTAAAAATAAACACTTAAAACCTTGAAGTGTCCAAGAGTTTTAGGAGCTGTGAGGACCAGAAATCTGGAGACCAAGACCAAAGATATGTTTCTTATTATAAGTCACAAGATTACACCTCCTATCCTTCTCATCCATTATTTCTGGTTAATTTTCATACTGTTTACTCCCTAACTACAAAAATGTCTATGATTCCTCACTGATGTAGGGTAAGGTATAACCCTTTTACCTTGGCCTCAATGTGCCACCTTGGGCCTTTGTCATTCTTGCTACTTTCCAAAAGGACTTCATGTAGACAGACTGTTCTTGGGTTTCCTAACAGAAGGCTTATCTCTGTGCTGTGGGTTTATGTTGTTACCTCGGCCTAGAAAACTCTCTGCTATTAACCTTGTTGATGAAAAAGATGCCAATCTCTGTAAAATATTTTATGGTGGCTTATTCTGAGCCAAACTTGAGGACTTAAGCCTAGGAACACCCATCCTTAGGAGGTCCTGAGAACCTGTGCCCACTGTGGTTGGATGGTGGCTCAGTTATATACATTTTAGGAAGACAGACATTACAAGAAGCCATAAATCATGTGAGATTTTCATTGGTTTGGCGCAGGAAGGAGGTGCATTTCCAAGGGGGGATGCTTGCAGGTCATAGATGGATTCAAAGATTTCTTGACTGGTAATTTGTAGTTCTTATCTAAGGAATTTTGGGAATCAGTAGGGGAGATACTTTGTAAGGGGGTGGAAAACTCGATGTTTGTTGATATGTAGATGAAGTCTTATATGTGGCAAACTTCAGGGAGGATAGATAAGTGTCTTATAAGGCTCCCTGGAATCAGGGAATCCATAAGAGATGGGTTTGCAGGACCATAAACCTTATTTGTTATGTGATGTTATACCAGCATCAGATTGGAAAGCAAACTTTAGGAGATAGAGTGATACAGTAATAAAACCCTGTCTGGTGAGTCCTTATCAGGCAGTGACTCCTCAACCTTTTTAGTTAGGAATTTGGGTATGAGGAAAAAAAGGTCAGGGTTAGTCCTCAGTTTCTAGCTACTGCTACCAAGCTGAACTGGCAACACTTGCCCAGAGCAGGAAAGCCAAACATCCATACCAAGATTCTGCAGTGGGATAAAGGAGAGCATTTATTTGCAGGGCACTAAGCAAGGAGAATCGGGCAGCGTATGCTTAAGACCCAAGTTTCTCAATGGCTGACAAGAAAGGGGTTTTAAAGGCAGTGGTACATTTCAGGAAAGTAGAAGTTATAAGCAAAATCATAAATCAATATACTGAGGCTCTACAGTGCTTTACCAATGTTTTATCAATACATTGGAGATTATACATTGATATTCTCCCTCAAAGCAGGATATCTTGAAGTGGTAATAGAGGGGTGGGAGAGGGCTTACAGGTCATAGGTGGATTCAAAGCCTCTCTGATTTGCGATTGGTTAAGGAAGCAAAACTTTGTCTAAAAACTTGGCGTCAGCAGAAAGAAACTTAAGATCTGGCCTAGGGGTGTGACTTCCTCCAGGGCCCCCAGGAAGAAATTTAGAACAAAGAATAGTGGTCAGAGTTTAGTCTTCAGTTCCCCCTTATCTGAGGTCAGTACGCTGGTGTATCCCTTTGGTGGGTGTCCAGGTTTCTGAAAAACAACTTAGGGACCTATGTTGTGATGTTATTTTTAGCTTGTCTAGGAAACCAAACATCTCCTGACTCTAACTTCCTTGACTATTGTTTAAGCTATTATTACCTTTTTGCTTATCAGGTTGCTCATTTACTTCTCAGGGCTAGCTGGGTGCCTGGAACTTCCCTTGAAGGAACTCAAGATTTTCCTTTATTTCCATGTTTGGTGGTGGTGGTAGGGAGTGTGGAGAGGTCCCTAAGAGGGGTTCCTGCTCCATCTCACTGTCAATTAATTCAATTCAGCAAACATTTATCGCATGGTATAGTTGGGCAAAAGAGACACAGTGCCTTTAGAAACTTCCGGAGGTGATAAGCCATCACAGCAATAATACCCTTCCAGGCTCCACTCAGATCTCAGCTTCTCCACTGGAGCTTCTGTGACCACATTGAGTGTCAGCCGGCTTTGCCTCTGAGTTCCTAGAGCATTGTTTACATGTGGTCTTGAATTGCTAGTTAACCTTCCCAGTATATTACCGCAACGAGAATATTACCACTCAAGAAGTAATTTACTGTCAGTTATATCCTAAAAGCTAGATGGACTATTTTACTGGACTGCAAATAAATGTATGTCATGTTTTACCAACACAAAAAAAGAAAAAGGCACTAATTTCTAAAGTCAGGAAACACTCTCAAACCTGGCTAGACTGTTAATTAATTCAAAGGAAAAAAAGGAATGTTTTTCTCCAAACCTTTTGCATCCCATGTGATGGAAAATGCCACTGGGATTTAGGAATGGTGTGAGATTATTGATGCCTACAAAGTTTAGGAGACTCAAGATGAGCTCGTGAGTGACTGAGCTGGAATTTGAACTTAGGTTCAACCAAAGTTGATAACCTTTCCAGAAGCAGAGGTAGAGGACAGCAGGTAAAGGGGTTGACCCCTCTGAGCACATTCTCTACAGATGGTGCCTGATGGATACTTTTGTTGCCATGGTGGAAAGACAGTTGAAGAGGCCTGGGGAGGCAGGACCAGGAGCACATGGGTACAGGAGTCCCAAGGTGCACATCTTCCGTGAATGCACCTTCAAGTCAGTGACACAGGCCCGGTCCCCCAGCTCTGCTCCCAAGCTCATATCTCACAGATCTTACATCCTGGCTGTGCCATTTTCTACTGCACCATCATCTGGGGCCACTGTGAATATAGAAATCTGTTCCCAAAGCCTGTGGCCAGGAGCTGGCGTGTGGACATGTGCTGCTGAGTGTTATAGCACAGACTGAAGACAGCCATTCCCTACCCAACCCTGCAGCAAATCTTGTTATGAGGTAGAATATACTTTCCCCGATGCGAACAGAGCTCCCAATTAACCTCTTCTATAGACTGTGTTCAGGTTTTACAAATTAGGTCTCTTTGCAGTGGCGCTCGTCTTTATTCCTACTAACACATGTACTCGAAGGTGAGTCCCACCTAGCCAGCCTCCAAGTCTTACCTTAAATCTGTTTGCCCTTGAAGGGTCCCACCAGGGCTGCTAGAGTCCAGCAGGCGGGCAGTTGCAGCCTGAGGAGGATGGGAATGGGGGTGAAGAGAGCCCGTCTCACCATTGAGGTTACAGCTGTGACCCATCTGTGAGTTGGCCAGCTCCTGCAGCTACTGAAAGCTTCTATGGAAAAACTGTTTAATGGCCCCCAGATCCCTTTCTGGCAGAGAGGGAGGTTTTGGTCCTGCAAATGTGGCCTCACTCATCAGTGAGTCCTGTCTGGGGGGAGGGGTCCTATCTCTGAGGCCTTCTTCCTATACCTATGTCTCAGGATCTGACTCCCATCCTGAGAGTGGTTACGCAGAAGAGCAGCACTGTGAAGAGCCCTTTCTGGTGAAAGTTGCTGTTGTTAGGGACCTGAAGAGGGAAGGAAGGAGGCAGAAAGCCCTGAGTTCTAGGCTGGCACTGTTCTGATGGGCTCTGTGAGCTTAGAGGAGTCGCGCCCCCTCTCTGGGCTGAACTTCCTGGTCTCCTGTAACCCTGGTATGGTGTGGTCCTATTTTACCTTCCTACTTGTCATAGCAAAAATGCCTTGTCCTGGTTCTTCTCCTTCCCTTGAGTGCTGTGGGACTGCAGGGAGAGAAAGGAGTCATTTCCTAGCTGAGTAATCTGGGACAAAATATGCAACTTCTCTGAGTCTGGCATGTAGTTAGTGCTCTAAAAATGGTAGCCATTATTAATTTTCCAAACAAGTACCTGAGATGGTAATTGTTTGGAAAATTAATGGCTTATGTTGTTACTATGAGACTTGATAGAGTAAGGTGTGAAAATCACCTGGCACATAATATGTGCTCATAAATGGTAGTAGATTTACTAAATGAAATATACCCTGCCTCTGGTGATGGATTATATTTCATTTCCTTGCCCACAAATAAAATACTGCCATTGTGTTTTGAGAAAGGTGCATTGTAGCTGATGTTAAAAAATGAGGCTACGAGAAGTTGTCACTTTCCTCTGGAGAGCCCTTGGCCAAGAGAGCAAGAGTGGCGTGGGGAGGAAGGAAAATGCTTAGGCGTCTCGGAGTAAGGAGTGTTTTGTGTGTCTTTACCCAAAAGATACAGATCTGTGTGCAGGGAGGGTTGCTGAGGCATGCCTCAGCTTAGTTCTGTGTGATGTCTTTGTCAGCGACCTTGGCCGATGTGCTTAGGTGGCTTACTTATGAAGTTCTCAGATGATGAGAGGCTGGAAAGAAAAGTGGACATGTTGGATGAAAGACTACATTGTAAATAGAATCTGTGAGATAAAATATAATGCGGATAAATGTTGGGTCCAGGAAATATATTATACATGCAAAGAATGTGAGGGACAATGTGGCTTCACATGAAGGTGCCACACCTTTGATGTGCACGAGAATCACTACGGGACTTGTTTACTTGTTTTTAAATAGAGATGCCAGGGTTCATCTGAGACCTTCTGAAGTAGCAGCTCTGATGGGGGAGTTTAGCAGGTACCCCATGCTGGCAAAGTTGGAGAATCCCTGGGTTGGTAGGAACATGTGTGAAAACATCAAGGGACTTTCTGAGGCCAGGGGATTGTGATAAGTTCCTGGGAAGTACAGTGTCTAGGATGTGGCTAGGCTTCTGTTCTGAGTTGGTCCTGTTGGAATATAAACTCCACGTGGGCAGGGATTTCTGGCTGTTTTGCTCATTGCTGACTCCTGAGTGTTGTTACCTTCCCTGGCATGTAATGGGTGCTCAGTGAATTACTGTTGAATGAATAAACTGAGTCTTGGAGATTTACATTTGAAAAGGAAAGAAGGGAGCATTTCTAGATGTAAGTGCCAGGTCTGGAAGCTATAATTAGGAAGGGATACATAGCAGAGATTATTTGTTTGATGTGAGGAGAATTAGGATAACTCTTCTTGAGTACTTGCAGGGTGATCTCCTGGGAGTGGAAATGGATGCGTTTGCTATGTCTATTTGAAGTAGACACATTTGAAGGAGTTACACTTCAAGTGGCTACACTTGTACGACTTTTTGCAAATGCTTTCAGTGGTCTGAAACTGGAATGAATTATTTTGTCTATTGGGGAGCCCTTTCTCAGTTTGTTTCAAGCAGAGGCCAGTTGTCCACCTGTCACAGATGATGGAGAGATCTTGCTTGCATTGTATAGACTGTTGAACTAGGTCACCCAGGTGAAAAAATCTTTAAGCATCTGTGATCTTAGAAACCAGCCAATCGGTTCCTCTGATTTTTCCTTCTCATGTATTTTTATGAAGAAATTGATGGTCCAACCAATGTGGTCACGGATCGAGTGACGGAAGATACGGCAGCTGTGTCCTGGGACCCAGTGCGGGCTGTCATAGACAAGTACATGGTGCGCTACACCTCTGCTGATGGGGACACCAAGGAGACGGCAGTTCCCAGGGACCACAGCAGCACCATCCTAATGGACCTGAAGCCTGGAGAGGTGTACAAGGTCTACGTGTGGGCCGAGAGGGGCAACCAGGGGAGCAGGAAGGCCGACACCAATGCTCTCACAGGTAACAGGAGGGTGGGAGTGTAAACAGGTTTCCCTATGGCAGGGAGAAGGTTGCCTTTTAAATCAGGAGGTCATCAGGCATCAGCCACTTGACATCTGCTGTTTTGTTTGCAGGGATGGGAGGGAGGGTTGCAAAAACAATTTTGACTTTTGTAATTATGAATCCTTTCCTTTTTAACTTCAAACGAAAGAGATAAGTCTTTTTATTTGGTACAGAAAGCCATACTTCTTTGGGTTGGCATTCTATACACAGCTCGCTCAGGGAAGTAACCCTTTCTGATTTTCATTTTGTAGATGTGAGAACTCAAACCACTGGGCGGACAGTGAATTTGAATGCTTATCTCAGTTTGCTGTGGCTGCACAAGCCCTCAGCGTGTAATCTGGAGCTCTCTTTCAGCCTGTGGGCATGGTGACTGAGTCAACATTCGGCACTCTTTCTTTAAGCTTTCAGAAACTGTGTCACCCAGTTATTCTGCTCAGCTGCTGCCTGCAGGGTCCTGGGACTGTCCTGGGACATAGCCTGGTCATTCCTTCTGCTTAAATTCTCCTTTGGTGCTTTCCTGAATTCAAAGCAGACTGAGCCTGGAGCCCACTTGAGCTTCCAAAACACTCGGCAGGATATCAGAGGGAAAGAATTTGTTTATTGTTCTCACTTTGTCCTGGGCAGTTGTTGAGTGTGGAGACTTTCAGAGAAGCGAATAAGTAGTTAGGAATGTGGTTTAAGGGGCTCGACTCTCTGGGTTTTAACCCCAGCTCTGCCATCTACTCACTGAGTGGCTCTGGGCAAGTTGCTTAACCTCTGTTCCTCAGTTTCTTATCTGTAAAATGGGGTATATGAGTAGCTCAGGGAGGGTTACATGATAATTCATGTCCATATGAAGTGCCTGACATATAGTGACATGTACTGAGTGCCATCTAAGTGAGAGCAATAATGATTTCTTAGAATCTTAACCAGCATTTGTCCTTTAAAAGAATTCAGGGTGCCCAGCCTGATAGATGCAGATGGGCCTCCAAGAGCTGCCTTGTCCTCCAGGGAAGAAGGGAAGAGGCTGACAGTGAGGAAGGTGAGATAGAAATTTGTTTTTAGTCAGAGCCAGCAGATTTTCTCTTCTGCAAACAGTCTCTTCTGCAACTACTCGACTCTGCTATTGAAGTGGGAAGATGGCCATAGACAATAATATGTAAATGAACTGGCATGACTGCGTTCCAATAGAACTTTACTCATAAAATCACTAGTGGGTCAGATTTGGACCATGGGCTGTGGACTGCCATTATACATAAATCTGTGTTACCAGGACTTTGTGTGTTGTGAAAAAAAGAACATGTGAGTCAGTGCTTTTCAAATGATGGGAAACAGAATGGAAAAGAACCTCCTCTCAGGGGTGCTGTGAGTAAGCACCCAGTGTTTGGGAAGCCACTGGGGCATGGTATTGCTGCTGGGCAGGGGTCAGACCGGAGCTGGGCTCTGGAGGTACAAAGATGAGAGACACAGTCCATGACCGTATGGTGTTCATAGTCCTCTGGGTGCAGTGAGTCACATTCTAGAACAAACAGATGTCCCTGGAGCTGTGGGGAAGCCTGAAAAGTGGGTACTTTTGAAATGAAAGAGGGTCACGTAGGTTGTCAGAGGAGGGGATGCCAGGCAGATCCTGGAGGCATGGGTGAGGTTACAGTGGAGGCAGCGGGTGCAGAAGCCTGAGGTGTGTGGATATGTTGGGCGAGGTCATTTCAGGTGGATATGGTGGGTAAGTCTGTGAGAGTGGGGCAGCAGTGAAGGATGCAGCCAGCTGGTGTCCCTGGCACTAGATTGTTTATCTTTATGTGGCAGTTGTCTGTGGTGCATGCTGACCTCTGTGCTCCTTAAGGCAGGTCGGTGCACTTTGTTGTGTGTATCACCGAATGGCCTGCTGTGCTTGGCAAGTGGTCATGTACAGGTTGAAATGCAGGAGCTATTCTGGGAAGCACAGTCCTTTGAGGAGACGGTTAAAAAAATTTTTTTTTAAAATTTCAAACTCAAGGAGTACACATGCAGATTTGTTACATGGATATATTATGTGATGGTGAAGTTTGGGCTGCCACCCAGGTGGTGAGCATGGTACCCAATGGGTAGTTTTTCAACCCTCGCCCCCATCCTTCCCTTCCTCCTTTAGGAGTCCCCAGTGTCTGTTGTTCCATCCTTATCCCTGTGTGTAGTCAGTGTTTTGCTCTCACTTATATGTGAGAACACGTGGTATTTGGTTGTTTCTGTATTCATTTAGATGATGACTTCAAGCTGCATTCATGTTGCTGCAAAGGACATAATTTTATTCCTTTTTTGTGACTGTATAGTAGTCCCTGGTGTATATGTACTACATTTTCTTTATCTATCCACCCTTGGTCAGCACCTACCTTAGTTTCCTGCCTTTGCTATTATGAATAGTATGGCAATAAACATACAAGTGCAGGTGTCTTTTTGGTAGGATGATTTAGGCTCCTTTGGGCATATATCCAGTAGTGGGATTTCTGAGTTGAATAGGAATTCTATTTTAATTCTTTGAGAGATCAAGGAGGTAGTCAAAGGAAGAGGATAATAAAGACGTGTTTACCATACACTCACTTGCTTGGATTTTTGACTATCTGAGGGGTTTACATTTTGAGAAGAAATTTGTATTTCCTACCTCAAAAGCTATTACTAATATCAATTCATATTTAAGCATTTGCTATGCAATAGTTCATTTACTATTCACCATCATCTATGAGGTAGGTATTGATATTTCTGTCTTCTTAGAGGGGAGGAGGCAGATACTTAAGTTACACGGCTTGTCCAAAGTAAGCCCCCAAGAAAAGGTGGAGCTCGGTGGAGTCTAATCACAAATAAACCACACAGATTCTACAAGCATGATTATTTTTACTAGCTTGGACCTCAGATGCCATTGATTTAAAAGTCTCCTGGTTCCCAGCTGGGCATCGTTGTGCATGCCTGTAATCTCAGCACTTGGGGAGGCTGAGATGGGAGGCTGAGCTCAGGAGTTTGAGACCAGCCTGGGAAACATAGTGAGACCTCATATCTATAAAAACAAAATCAAAGTATTAGCCAGGTGTGGTGGCACATACTTGTAGTCCCAGCTACTCGGGAGGCTGAAGTAGGAGAATCACCTCTGCCCAGGAGGTTGAGGCTGCAGTGAGCTGTGATTGTGCCACTGTACTCCAGCCTGGGTAGCAGAGTGAGACTCCAACTCAATCAATCAATCAATCAATCAATCAATCAATCAAAGTGTCCTGGTTCTCTGGCCACAGACATAATGTTTTACATAGAACTGAAAGCATCTATTTCTGGGATTTTTTTCTTCACAAAGAACATACTTAAGCAGATGCAGAGATTTATTCAGTATAACTACTCTAAGGTACAAGGAGTCAGGAACTAGAGGAGTATATTATATAAATCCAGGGTCAAGGAGAAATTTGAATGTGAAGACCAATTCTTTTTATCCCAAAGCAACTCATGGAAAAAGTTTATGACATTGATTTATATGTTGGCTTTGTCTGAAAACTCTACTTCTCATGGAGTATTATTAGCTCATTCCAGGAATTTCAGACCACTTGCTTAATTACACCTTTGAGTTATTTCAATCTTTGACATATTATAGACTCTGAATTCATTGAAGTCATCATTATGTGTATGTTCTGGCCTTTCAGGAATTAGAGGGTGGTAAAGGTTACATTCTTCTTTTGTCTCTTTCTTAAAGAAATTGACAGCCCGAGAAACCTGGTGACTGATCGGGTGACAGAAAATACGGCCACCATCTCCTGGGACCCAGTGCAGGCCACCATTGACAGGTACATGGTACGCTACACCTCTGTGGATGACCAAGAGACCAGAGAGGTTCCGGTGGAGAAAGAGCAGAGCCGTGCCGACCTGACAGGCCTGAGGCCGGGCATAGAGTACACGGTGCAGGTGTGGGCCCAGAAGGGCGACCGGGAGAGCAAGAAGGCTGACACCAAGGCCCCGACAGGTAACAAAAGAGAGAGGTCAACTGGAATTGAGTTTTGAGTCTGTGGACTTGAGTGTGATAAAGGTACCAAAGGTTGTGTACTGAGCTGAGGGACTTTGCAATTCGGGATCTTAAAGATCAAAGAAAGACTGAACTCTAGTGGCGATCTCTTGAGCTGCAGTTCCCTGACAGTGATAAGCTGATCAGGAAATCCCTCAGCCGGCTGACTGGGAAAAGTAAAGCTGTATAGTAGCAGTGTTTTCAACACACTCAGCAGAGATGTGAAAAGGATCGTCACAGTGCTGTGATAATACTTTTGGAGGGCTCACCAGTGAAGCAGCCCTAAGTAACACGATAAATTAGCTACCCTAAATGTCATGGCGGATATTTAATCAGGAAGTCTTGGTGTGCTGTATGCTGCTAAGAAGATTTTGTTCCCCTCACATTTTAGGAAGCTAAAGACCAAGAAAGAATGCCATGTTTACAGTGATTCCTCCTTTGAAGTTGAGACCCAGGGTGGGAATGCCATTGCCTTGTACTCAGAGAGCTCTGGAAGATGCAGATGATGATGATGGGGTAGCAAAGGTATCTTCCCTGGCGTCAGAGCTTAGACTTTTCCAAACATTTTCCTTTCAGACATTGACAGCCCCAAAAACCTGGTGACCAACCAAGTGACAGAGAATACGGTCACTGTCACCTGGGACCCAGTACAGGCCGCTATCGACAGATATGTGGTGCGCTACACCTCTGCGGATGGAGAGACCCAGGAGGTTTCTGTGGGGAAGGAGCGGAGCAATGCCATGCTGACAGACCTGAAGCCAGGCGTGGAGTACACGGTGTATGTGTGGGCCCAGAAGGGGGACCGGGAGAGCGAGAAGGCTGACACCAAGTCCCCAACAGGTAAGGTGCATGCATTGTCACATGTCATTGCTGTGTGTGGTCTGTCTGTGTTGATCTTCTCTGACCTTGGCATAGAGAGAGGCTTTATGGAAGGGGCAGGTTGGTGTCCCTCTGTAATAAATGGTGTCCCCTCACTTCCTTTCAGTGGCTTCTCTTAGAATGCACATCTCATATTGTGCTGTCCACTCTAAAGATTGAAGGCCACTGCTCATAGTCCTTTATTCTTCTCTGCCTATGCACCCTCCTTGTTAACACACTAAATGCCTCACATCGGCAGGTAGTAAATATGAAGACGCAGGAAACTCTCATGCTGAGGGAGCCAGACCTAGGGATTATAATAAGTAAACACTTAAAAAAAAACCTCTTCGCCTGTTTAAACCCTTTCTATGCCTGTTTTTGTTTTTGTCCTTTGGATAAATGTAAATAATAACAGTGATTTATTAGCTAAAATAAGCCAATGTCTTGTCAGCTCAGCTTCCCTTGTGTTTCTCTTCTTGTACTTCAAGTGCTGTTCTTCCAACTTGCTGGCCCCCTTTTTGAATCACTAGGTCTGACACTGCTGGGAAAGGTTAGCTGAGGAGAGATGAGGAGGGGTCAGGAGGAGGAGAGGTGAGGTATGGGGAAGAGGAGGAAAGGTGGGGAGCCATGAGTGAGGTGATCTGAGAAGTGAGGAGAAGGAGAGGTGAGGGGTCAGGAGTGAGGAGAGGTGAGGAGTGAGGAGGGAGAGGGATGAGGAGTAAGGTGGAGAAAAGGTAAGGGGTCAGGAGGAAGGAGAGGTGAGGGGTCAGGAAGAGGAGTGGTGAAGGGTCAGGAGGAGGAGAGGTAAGGGGTCTTGAGAAAGAGAGGTGAGGGATCAGGAGGAAGGAGAGGTGAGGAGTGAGGAGGAGGAGAGGTGAGGGCTCAGGAGGAGGAGAGGTGAGTGGTTAGGAGGGAGGATAGATGGGGATTCTGTCATGTACATTGCAGGACATTTAGCAGCATCTTTGGTGTCTCCCTATCCTGTTGTGACAACTTAGATGTCTCTAGACATCATTAATCCCCCCAGACTGAGAACTGCTGCTCTAGGGTATGCATAACAAGCTCCGTAAGGGACCTCATTGAAACTACTTGTTCAAAGCTTGGGACTCACAGTGAAACTTTTTCCAAGTAAATCCATTTCTTTTATGTCCCACTTCATTGGCCTCTCCGACCTCTTTTTTAGGCTGAAGATGGTGGGTCAGTCAAGGATCTCAAAGCTATTGATCCTGCCTTGGGTGTGGGCCCTTGGGTTAGAAGGTACATTTTCTCGGGGTCAGAGCCTGAACCAATATATGTGATGGGACCTATGAGCAAATGACTTTAGGAAAATGACTACTATTTTCTTGGTGAATATATTTTTGAGTAGCTTCTGTGTGTGTGGTATAGAGGAGTATAATCGCTTGAATTTATAAAGGATCAAGAAACAGATGTTAATAATACTAGCTTGTTAGTATTTTGTTGAGGGTTTTGCATCTATGTTCATCAGTAATGTTGGCCTATGGTTTTCTTTTTTTGTTGTCTTTTTCTGGCTTTGGTTTCAGGGTAATGAATATTCCGTGTGCTGATGAAAATGATGTGGCTTCTGGGGCTGTTGTATGAAAAGTTCTGTCAATGTCTTTAGGTCCATTTGGTCTAAAGTGAAGTTTAAATACAATGTTTCTTTGTTGATTATCTGTCTTTATCATGTGTCTAATGCTAAGAGTGGGGGTATTGAAGTCCTTCACTCTTATTGTATCAGGGTTTAGCTCTCTTTTTACATCTAATAATATTTGCTTTGTATATGTGGGTTTTCCAGAGTTGAGTACACATATGTTTAGAATTGTTGTATCTTCTTGCTGAATTAATTTTTGATTTAAAGTCTGTTTTATCTGATTTAAGTATGTTTACCCTTTTCGGAGGTAAAAGTTCACTTTTGGTTTCCATTTGCGTAGAATATCTTTTTCTAGATTTCTTCACTTTCAATCTATGTAAGTCTTTACATGTGAAGTGAGTCTTGTAGGCAGCATATAATTGGATCATGTTTTTTCTTAATTCATTCAGCCAGTCTTTATTTTTTAAGTGGGAAATTTAATCCATTTACCTTCAAGGTTATTGTTTATAGGTGAGTACTGACTCTTGTCATTTTGTTAATTGTTTTCTGTTTGTTTTTTTATCTTTTGTTTCTTTCTCTCTTATTGTTTATCATCACAGCTTAGTTTTTTTTTCTCGTAGCGATACTGTTTGATTTTTTTCTCTTTTTACTCTATATGTATGCTCTACCAGTAACGTTTACAGTTTTACATGTTCTTATGGTAGTGATTATTGTCTTTTCATTTCCAGATGCAGGACTTTCTTGAATTTTTTTTGTAAGACCAGTCAAGCAGTGATAAATTCCCTTAGTTTTTGTTTGTTTGGGAAAGACATTTATTTCTCCCTTATTTCTGAAGGATAGCTTTGCTGGATATAGTATTCTTGGCTAAAAATTTTTTTTCTTGTTTCAGTACTTCAAATATATCATTCCTTTCTTTCTTGGCTTGTAAGATTTCTGCTGAGAAATCTGCTGTTAGTTTAATGGGGATTACCTTATATGTGACTTGACACTTGTCTCTTGCTGTTTTTAGGATTCTCTCTTTGTCTGTGATTTTTGATAGTTTAACTACAGTGTGCCTCCAGAAGGACCCCTTTGGGTTGAATCTATTTAGGGACCTTTGATCTTTTTAGATCTGGATATTCATATCTCTGTCTAGACTTGAGATATTTTCAACTGTTATTTCATTAAATAGATTTTCTATACCTTTTTCCATCTCTTCCCTTTCAGTAACTCCTATAATACAAATACTTATTTGCTTAATGGTGTCTCATAAGTCTTGCAGGTTTTCTTCACTCTTTTTAATTCTTATTTTTATTCTCCCTCTAACTGAGTGTGCCAAGCAAGTTATCTTCAAGTTCAGAGATTCTCTTTTCTGCTTGATCAAGTCTGCTGTTGAAGCTCTCTGTTGTATTTTTAATTTCATTCATTGAATTTATCAGCTGTAGGATTAATTTATCTCTTTTCTATATCTGCCTCTTTGTTGAATTTCTTGTTCATATTGTAAATATCTCTTATTTTGTAGAATTGTCTATCTGTATTTTCTTGAATCTAATTAAGTTTCCTTAAGATCATTAATTTGAATTCCTTTTTTGGCAGTTCATTGATTTTATTTTCATTGGGGTCTGTTACTAGAGGGTTATTGTATTCCTTTGGTGGTGTCATGTTTCCTTGCCTTTTCACATTTCTTAGTCCCTGCATTGAAGTCTGTGCATCTGGTGGAACAATCGCTTCTTCTAAACTTTCTAGAATGGATTTCTCAGAGAAATACTTTCACATGCAATTGAGTTTTAGTGTCCATTGGGTTCTGGGTGAAGGTGCTCAAAGCTGCTGTGGGGTCAGGGTCCTAGGTTCAGCGTCTTGTGAACTTATTTTGGCATGTGGGTCTTGGGGTACAGGTTCACTCTCTGTTGCAGGGTTGCATGTAGGTTGCCCACAGTGCCAGGATCTGTGACTCTGAGTTACCCCCTAGCAGCTCAGGTTCAGGGGATTGGGTTGTAACTGTGATTCTAACGTTGGGGAGTAGGAGTACTCTGAAGGGTGCAGAGCACAGCTGTAGTTTGGAAACTGGGGGCCAATAGGGCTTGGTGACACTCAGGTCCCTGGGGATGAGGCATTGTGTAGTGGTGGGATGGTGGGACTTGGCAGTATCCCAGATGCTGTGAGGGCAGCAGCAGCAATTGCCCCAGAATGAACAAGCACATTGTTGGTTGGGCTTTGTGGGCAGGGCACAGCATGGCAATGACTCCTCTCCTTGAGGAGATGGGTGCCTCAGCAGCTCAGATTCCAGGAGACTAACCTAGCCACAAGAAAGCAGCATACTAGAGTTCTTGGCCTGTAGGTTGGGGTGAGATCAGCCACTACTCTGTTTTCTGAGACATGGGGTACTACCTCAACTCAGCCCTGGACTGTGTAGCTGCTCAGCTTAGCCAGGAAACTGATTCCCTAGGAGGTGATGTGCTGCTTCAGGTCAGACCTGGGGTGTGTGGCTGTTCTGGGCAACCAAGACATCATTACCCTGGGATGCAGGGCTCTGCCAAAGCACTGTGTCCCCAGGAGAGAAACTTCAGCTCTGGTCCTAGAGGATAGGAAAGGTCGGTGGAGCACTCCTGCCACTGCTTTACCCCATGAGGAAAGTTATAATAGTTACTCACAGCTCAGCTTTGGGATGTCAAACCACTGGGTGGGAGTGGTTTGACAGCAGGTTAGCCTCAGGGATGAAAGGATGTCATGGCTGCTTGCCTCCAGATCAAGACACACTCCAGCAGTAGTTCCAGTTTCAAGATGGCATATTGTAGTAACTGTGTGGGCCACAGGGGACAGGGCATAATATCAGCTCCTTCTCTGGGGTAACACAGCTGTGTGGACACCAGGCAGGTCCCTCAGCTGATCACAACTCTTGTGAGGACTGCAGGGGGTCTGAATGGTGAGGACTGTAGGTGTCTAAGGTGTGGTTGGGGACTGCTTGGATCCTCTTGCCTACCACTTTGCCATAAAAAGAAGTTCCTCTTGGTTCTAAGTTGATCCTGGCTGAGGGATAGCATAGTGGGGTCCTGGTGTTTCCTTCTGTTCTTTCTGTGGCTATCCTGAGTTTCTGTGCTCACCAGAGTTTCTGTTATTTCTTTGATATACTCCTGCACTCTTCTTTAGTTATTTTTGTTAAAATGTAGCTGCTTATTCATTGTTTTGGTTGTCTTCATACAGAGACTGAGCATTAGAGGGTTCAAGTTGGGCAACTTGCCGGCGTCACACCAGAGAACATGTTATTAACACATATAATACAACAGCTCTGAAGAAGACGCCCTCATATTATCTCCTCCTGCCTTCTTTTTTTTCCTTCTGGAGAAAATTGAGGCAGAGAGGTTAGGTTGCCCTTGATGACATTTTGAATTGTGAACACTCTGTGGCTTCAGAGCTGTAAACACTAATATTTTAGCATTTTCTTTTCTTTCTTTCTTTCTTTCTTTTTTTTTTAGTTGGAGTCTCCCTCTATAGCCCAGGCTGGAGTGCAATGGCACGCTCACAGCCACCCCAGCGTCGATGTGCTGGGCTCCGGCGATCCTTCCATCTCAGCCTTCCAAGTAGCCGGAACTATAGGCATGCACTACCACATCCGGCTAATTTTTAATTTATTTTTTATTTTTTTATTTTTGAGTTGGAATCTCACTCTGTCGCCCAGACTGGAGTGCAGTGGCTGCTCCCAGCCACCTCAGCCTCTACCTGCTGGGCTCCGGCGATCCTTCCACCTTAGCCTTCCAAGTAGCTGGAACTACAGGCATGTGCTACCATGCCCGGCTAATTTTTCGATTTATTGTAGAGTTGAGGTCTCATCAAGTTGCCCAGGTGGGTCTCGAACCCGTGGGCTCAGGCAATCCACTCACCTCAGCCTCCCAAGGTGCGGGATTACAGGCTGAGCCACCGAGCCCGGCGATTTTTAATTTTTTATTGTAAAGACGAGGTCTCATCAAGTTGTCCGGGCTGGTCTCGAACCTGTGGGCTCAGGCAATCCACTCGCCATGGCCTCCCAAAGTGCTGGGATTACAGGCTGAGCCACTGAGCCCGGCCTGTTTTAGCATTTTCAAAGCTTCTTTTTCTACTTGATATTTCTTGTTTTGGTTTACAGAGTTACCCAGAGAAATACAATAACCATTAACAATCCCATTTTACAAATACAGAAGTAAAGTGAAGCAACTTGCTCAAGGTCACAAAAACAAGTTAGTCGGTTATGAAATTAGATACATATATGAAATATTTGTTGATGGAACCTTGAAGTCCATCTAACTCAAACCCCAGCTTTTACAGATGAAGAAGCTGAGGCCCAGCCAGACACAGCTTAGTTCTCCTAGATGGCTGATGACAGTGCTGGGATTATACTCCTGGTTAGCAGACTTCATCCCAGGGTTCTCCCTTTCTCTCTGGGCTGAAACTAGAACCTATCTCATCTGACTCTGGATGTAGTGCTCATTCTACTCTCCTGGGTTGCCTCCTTGAAGATCCAAGTACCAGCTATGGTGATAAGATCTATGTCTATGAAACAACTGAAAACTGATGTATGATAAAGGAAAATCATAACAGTAGACTGCTCACCACAAGCAAAATGGTGCCTGCTAATGGTGTTTATTGATCAGCATTTTCCTTTCAGAAATTGACAGCCCTAAGAACCTAGTGACTGACCGGGTGACAGAGAATACGGCCACCATTTCTTGGGACCCAGTACAGGCTACTATTGACAAATATGTGGTGCGCTACACCTCTGCTGATGGAGAGACCAAAGAGGTCCTGGTGGGGAAGGAGTGGAGTAGCACCACCCTAACGGGTCTGGTGCCAGGCATGGAGTACACAGTGTATGTGTGGGCCCAGAAGGGGGACCAGGAGAGCAAGAAGGCTGACACCAAGGCTCCAACAGGTAAGGAGCATCGTTCTTTGGCAATGTAAGATCTATCATGCTAAGCTGATGAGTGGTCAAGTTTTGTTTTCCTTCTCTGACATTGGCAGAAATTGATGATTATGGAAGAGCAGAATGGTATTCCTTCATAGTATGCTGCACCCACCATCATCCCTTGCTTCCCTTTAACTGGTTTTCTTACAAGTCAGGCCTACATGGCAGTCTCCAAGCTATGACTCTATGGTCATGCCCACCAATTCCTCTTTTGATTGTGTGGATTTTTGCTGTATGTAATATTGAGGGTTTCTTAGTGAGTGGGAACAGAAAATGAAAATAAAGTAGTATTACTAATGGTCTATTGAAAAATTGACTTTAAGAATGTAGACTTTACATCTGCAAGGAGATGGATGTGGTTTGCTTTGCTACAAATGAGTCCTATTATAATTGCCAAACTCATGATAAATTATTATGATACATTCTATGCAGGAGATGGCATGGTGTAAGTATAGAGAATAACATAGTAGAGATGGTTTGTAGATGGGATGGGTGAGTCGTAATAGGATACACATTGAGAGAAACACCCAAATAATAGTTGTGTAAACAAGAAAGGAGTGTATTCCTCTCTGTGGAATGGTAGTGTGGATGTGGGCCAGAGTTTTGAGGATAAGGATATCTCCTGTGTTACATTCTTATTACTATAAAAGAGATATATGTACACATTTTGTACAGTGATTTAGCCAGTAAACTAGCATGACAATGAATCTGTGATTTGCTAGAGAATATCAAAATAGGGTTTACTTTTGCTGACTCATTTAATGACACTTCTCACGTATTGGGCACTTTTCCTGTGCCCTGTCCTCTACACAGGTACTGGGGACACAGGAGAATAGGATGCAACTTTCTTCCTCCAGAAGATTATGTTTGGATCTGGCTTTTAGAATTTCTAGTATGAGAGGTCTTCACTGAGATGATGTTAGACACAAAACTGTTAGTTCCTTGTTAGCAGAGTCTGTGTCTTCAACTCTGGATCCTGCCCATTGACTAGAACAGGGGTGTCCAACCTTTTGGCTTCCCTGAGCCACATCAAGTAAAAAGAAATCGTTTTGGGCTGCACATAAATTATACAATATAGTTAGTATATGTACATAATAAGACTTCTTTTATTTTTAATATTTTTTTCTTATAAAGTTTAGAAAAATGAGAACAATATAAAGCTAATGGGAAATTTGACCCTGGCTTTTATAAAACTAATCTATCAATGTCTGGTTCAATGGAAGTGCTCATAATTCTTAGTGAGTTCTAAAGGTGCTCGCCAGAAATATTTGTTCAAGTTTTGCTCTTCGTGTGCTTCATGATTGAAAACAGTTGCTCACAAATATACGTGCTGCCAAAAAGCAATGTCATGAATAAAGCGTGATTGTGAACTTCAAAGATGGAACTACACATGGACTCACAAAGAAAATAAATGCTAAAACACATGATGCTAAAAGATTTTGTGGGGTCGCATTACTAGCTGTTGTGGGTCATATGTGGCCTGCAGGCCATGGGTTAGACATGCCTGGACTTGAATAAAGAGATTTGTTTTGTCAAACTCTTGGGAGTGGTAATAACCCAACTTGTCAGATTCTGGTCTTTTGTGTTTTCTACTTGAGGAGCCAAGTATATCTGGGGAGAGAAGATGATGTCCATAAAACAGGTAAAACAGAACAGGAGATGGAAAACCCACAAAACATGAAAGGGTCTTACCCCAAGCAAAATTGCCCCCAATTTCTACACTCTTGGGCCTGTTAATAGTGCATATTGACTATCATTTTTCTTTCAGACATTGACAGTCCCAAAAACCTGGTGACTGACCAGGTGACAGAGAATACAGCCACCATCTCCTGGGACCCTGTGCAGGCCACCATCGATAGGTACATGGTGCGCTACACCTCTGTAGATGGAGAGACCCAGGAGGTTCCAGTGGGCAAGGAGCGGAGCAGCGCCATCCTGACGGGCCTGAGGCCAGGCATGGAGTACATGGTGCATGTGTGGGCCCAGAAGGGGGACCAGGAGAGCAAGAAGGTTGACACAAAGGCTCCGACAGGTAACAGGAGGGAAGAGGATAACATACTGGGGTAGTTGATGCAGGTTGATCTATTGTTACTGATTGATAATGCAGTCACTTTTGGAGTCTGCAACCTCAGACTTTTGATTGTTTTAGGAGAGTCTGCTATAAAAAATTTTTATTCACACAAGGAAAGAACAATGCATAGTAATGAACCTGTCCCACTGGGTGGTCTTAGACTGAGCAGTCCCACAAATGTCTTAAAGCTCTTTCCAAAGCCTAAGTTTTTAACCATTGTGACTCTGAGCTATATAAAATTATAGAGAATAATGTAAAAATAATATAAATTTTCTAAAACCACTGATTAAAAGACTGTTTTGTGGCAGGCTATTTTGGTTAGGCTTGACTGAACAGGTGCAGTGTGGTAGAGAGGAACAGGTATTGACCTAGGCAGCTGGATCCCTGTGTTTATATCAACAGGCAGCTGACTTGTAATTAGCATCGTCTGGGACTATAGTGGTGCTAGGCCTGGGAATACAGTGGTGGACAAAATAAATGTGGTCTCTACTATCTTGACATCTAGTGGGAAAGGTAGACAATGAACAAATTTATAACTGTATATTACGATAAGTTCTGTGGAGGAGATGACATGGTGTATATAGGGTAGGAATGTTTCTAGATGGGATGGGTGAGTAGTAATAGGATAAGTGTTGACAGAAAGACCCACATAACAGTTGCATAAACAAGAAAGGAGTGCATTCCTTTCTGTGGAATGGCCAAGGTGACACGATAGCTCCCTATCTAGGAGACCCAGAATCCTTCTGTATTGTTGCTCAAGCGGCCCTAAGAAGTTGCCTTCCTTTACCTTCCCGTTCACATTCCAGTGGTGGGCAGGGGCATAGCGAAGGGTGGAGATGACTGGAACATTGCCCACATCTGTTCTTCTCCTGTTCCATTGTTAGATCCCATGCACAGCATCCGACGTTACTCCAAGGGAGGCTGGGAAATAGGGTCTTTAGCTGGATGACCACTCGCCCAGCATTCACTTCTGTGATACCATCGTGTCCAACATAGTAGCTGCTAGCTACACATGACTATTTAAATTTTAGTTAATTAAAAATAATTAAAATAAGAAATTATTTCCTCATTTGGACTAGCTATATTTTAAATGGCCAGCAGTCACCTGTGATCAATGGCCACAGTATTGAACAGTGCAGATTATAGGATCTTTCCATCATTGTGAAGAGTTATATTGGACGGTGTGCGTGTAGAAGAAGGGGAGGACGGGTATCAGGGAAAACTGGCCACATTGGGCAGAAGGAGGAGTAGCGTGATGGCCCTCAGCTAGAATAGCACCTGAGATGGTTGAAGGATGACAAGAGACTGTATTGTTGGGGCATGGAGGTGAGACAGCAGGGTGCCTGAGGTGAGGTGAAAGGGGCGGGGTGGGGGTCATACAAGACCACGTGATGCCTCGAAGACAAATTGATCAGAAGAGCGACATGATACAGTGCTCATTCAGAAAACATTTTCCAGCCTATGCTGAGGAGAATGGAAATAATGACAAAGGTAAAAGTGGGAAGATTAGCAAAACAACTACTAGAAAGGTCGGTGCAAGAGAATGATGGTCTGGACGGGTGAGATGGCAGGAGGGATAGAGAAGAGGGCGTATCTGGGAATATATTTGAGGCATAACTGATAGTACTTGTTGATAGATGACCTGTGGGATAGGAAGAAAATGAGGAATCATGTGTGACCTATGCTGCTGATTTGAGCATCATGGAAGATTGGGGTACCATTTTTTGAGAGGGGACATTGAGCACTAATACGTTTGGAAAGGAATGTGAAGACTTTTAAATATTTAAGTTTGAGATACTCAGGAATGATACAGACTGTGGGGCAGTGAGCATCTGGTTGGTGTTTAAAGCCATGGGCACCAGTGAGGTCACCTGAGGAAAACGGAGAGAGAGGGAGAGAAGGAGCTTTGGATGCACCAGCACTTTGAAGGTCGCTAACAAAGAGCTGAGGAAAAGGAGTTGGGGAGTTAGGAGGAAATCAGGGGTGTGTAGTCATGGAAGCCAAGAACTGAGAGTATCTGAAGAAGGAGGGAGTGGATCTGACTTACCAAATGCTACTTGAAAGTCGTGTCATGTGAGGATGGCATGCTTTCCTTTGATGTGGTAGCACAGACATTGTTGGTTAACTTAACTAGGAGGTGAGGTGGTGTGGTGTGGAAAGACATAAACGTGGCTGAGCTGAGGGGTGAGCAGGCAAGGAGGTGGGAAGTCAAGGATGCAGTTGTTTCTCTCGAGAGGTCTGTAGGTTCAGGGATGCAGAGAAATGGGATGATGTGGGGAGGGATGGGAGATACTAGGCTGCTTATGTGGGCTTCAAGGTGGAGAAGGAGAGATTGATGACACAGGAGAGAGGGGCAGGAGAAAGCCAGCAGGTCCATGAGAGCTGGGAGGGCTCAGTATTCAGAGGGAGATTTCACACAAGCCATTGGCAATAACCCTCATTTCCCTGGACTTACGTTCTCCTCCCCTTTTCTAAGTCAAGAAGGCTGGAAGATATGACCTCTCAGTTCTTCAGTTCTGTGAAAGAAAATAACCAGACCCCATGCAGATCAACAGAAGTTTTGGTAGCTTGTCTTGTGGTCCCGGAGATTTTTATTGTTATTTTGGTGAGGATCGCAAGGACAGAAAATGTCCATGTTGACACACTTGGAGAAGATCTGATTCCTTCCAGCTTTAGTGTCCAGTGGTTTGTTTCCCTGGAAAGTGGAAAGCAGTACTCTTCAACTCCTGTTTCGTGTGAACTCTGCCACTGTTCATGATACATGAGTGAAAGCCTGATGATGGATGGGGTGGGGATGGAATACCCTCCCTGGGGTCTAAAGTCCTGCCTTTTCTAAATCTTTTCAAAAAAGAAATCGACGGTCCCAAAAACCTGGTGACTGACCAGGTGACAGAGAATACAGCCACCATCTCCTGGGACCCGGTGCAGGCCACCATTGATAGATACGTAGTGCATTACACCTCTGCCAATGGAGAGACCCAGGAGGTTCCGGTGGGCAAGGAGCGGAGCAGCGCCATCCTGACGGGTCTGAGGCCGGGCGTGGAGTACATGGTGCATGTGTGGGCCCAAAAGGGGGTTCGTGAGAGCAAGAAGGCCTACACCAAGGCCCTGACAGGTACTGAGAGGGACAGGACAAGGGAGACTTTCACACTTACCAGGAGAAGGTCTTCCATTGGTGGGGCAGGGAGGGGAACAAGGAAAGGTGGGGGGGTGCTCACCTCACCCAAGGTCATTCCTCAGAGTTAACTTTCTGAGGTGACATGTTGACATGGCAGTTCAGATAAGATGGGAGAGTGCTAGCCAGGCGTGGTGGCTCATGCCTGTAATCCTAACACTTCGGGAGGTGGAACTGAGAAGATTGCCTGAGACTAGGGATTTGAGACCAGTTTGGGCAACTTGGCGAGAACTTTTCTCTACAATAAATCAAACAACTAGCTGGGTGTGGTGGCATGCACCTGTAGTTCCAGCTACTTTGAAGGCTGAGGCAGAAGGATCACCTGAGCCCAGCAGGTCAAGGTCATGATATAGCCATGAGTGTGCCACTATACTCCAGTCTGGGTGTCAGAGACTCCAACTCAAAAAAAAAAAAGAGAGAAAGTGAGAGAATGTGGAGGAAATGGTTGGGCCTCAGCTCCCTCTGGGAGAAAAGAGGTAGTTTTCTTTTCTGTTTTCCTCTTCTGGAATGGGGATGGTACAGTATCTTCCTCCATTTCATCCCCAGCAGATGATGAAAGGTGCCTGAACCACTATGTGTTGTGTGTGATGGGGTCTCTGGCCTTGACTGAACATCGTAGGGATCAGGATCTTGGGCCATACCTGCTCTGGGATCCGCAGGCCTCTTCAGTAGTGTGGGCAACGTCTGTCTACTGCTTTTGTGGCTGAGTGCACCAAGTATGGCCATGGAGATAGAGGTGCCTTGAATTTCTTTATGATGTTTTAAAATATTATTACTAGGCCAGGCTCGGTGACTCAGCCTCTAATCCCAGCGCTTTGGGAGGCTGAGGTGAGTGGATTGCCTAAGCCCACGGGTTCGAGACCTACCTGGGCAACTTGGCAAGACCTCATCTCTACAATAAATCAAAAACCAGCCGGGCGTGGTAGCGTGCACCTGTAGTTCCGGTTCCTTGGATGGCTGAGGTGGAAGGATTGCCAGAACCCAGCAGATCGAGGCTGCAGAGGCTGGGAGCAGCCACTGCACTCTAGTCTGGACGACAGAGTGAGACTCCAACTCAAAAATAAATAAATAAAATAAAATATTATTATTTTATTATTTTTATTTTTAGAGACAGGATCTTACTCTGTCTCCCAGGCTTGAGTACAGTGACACAATCATAGCTTTCTGCAGCCTCCAACTTCTGATCTCAAGTGATCCTCCTGCCTTGGCCTCCCAAAGTGCTGGAATTGCAGCCATGAGCCACCACTCCTGGCCATTATTTTTATTAGTTAAAATAGCATTTTTGATCCAAAAAATATGTATGCTTGTAGTAAAAATTTTCAAACTGTTTGCATAACAAACAACAATAGCAAAACCCCACTTATCCCCATCCCAGACTTCCTGGAACTCAGTGTTGTTCACCAGAGGTTGTCAGTAACCAGTATCTCCTTCTTTCTTCCCTCCTTTTCCTCTTTCTCTCTGCCTCTTTTTTCTACTTTTCCTTCTTCTCTTAGTTTCACCTTTCCCATTTTTAAAGACAGTAATGAGATTGCCATCTTTCTGCTTTGTAGAAATGTGAAAGTAACTAAGACAGATACCTCAAGCCTGTAACCAGGGCATTGGCAGTCAGTCAAAGGAATGGCAGAAGCTAGCTGAGGATATTTAAGTAGCCACAGTTTTGCTCTGATTATGAAAGCAGTGAATTCAGTTTTTTCATGTGGTGGATAGAGTAAAATTCATGCCAGATACTATGCTTTAAAAAAATCAAACCAAGCTGATATTACAGAAATTCAAAATTTGTCAAAACATCCTAATTCAAAGCAACAGCTGTCTGATTTCTGTTAAAATACTGCAATTCAGTTCTCAGCTCCAATGCTACTGGGTAGAAAATAGCCTGAAGACATCTTTTTTGGGAAACTTCTAAATTAAAATAGCCTTCTGTGATAATGCTTTTTCAAAATGGAAATTTCCATTCATATCTTATTAGGCTAAAAAAAAAGTCATCTAACAGTTGTGCTGTTGGATAGTATTCTTGCTGAGCTCTAGTTTTCCTGGTCTACATGGCACACTCACGTACCCACGTGTTCCCTCTGGTGTTTGGGGGAGGAAGTTCCATAGAAGAAAGCTCTGTTGATCTCCC